CAACTTGCAGTCCTCCTGCCTCAGTCTCTCAGGTAGCTGGATTACAGGCATTGAAATGCAAAACTTTGAACTCACAGATATGATACTTAAGCTTAAGCCTTTAAGCTCCCTTCAAATACTTTCCCTTGTTTTGAACACAGTTATCCTATCATTCTTAGCACTTTTTGAAGCAATTCTTAGAAGTCCTGTTCTGCAAGTGTCTTTAGGTGTGTTGACATGGCTGTCTTGATCACAAATTGATTTAAAATTTGTATCTTTCATGGTCATTTTGACATAAGGAAGGAGCCATAAGTTGCAAGGTGCAATCAGTGGAATAAAATGAGGTGTTTTTAAGAGTCTGCCTTTCCCTTCCATGTCAGTTAGCGGCAGCATTCACTGCATGCCTCATAAAGACAGTCACCAAAAAAAAGGACTTCCCATCCTGCTTCAAAAAGTGGCAAGAAGTGTGTGATAAGTGTGTTTAAAGTGAGGGGTAATATTTTAAAGGAGATTAATGGCAATGTACCTTTTACTATAATATTTAAAATATAATCAGTCACTGTATTTTTTAGTCAGTCCTTGCAATTAATGTCTTTTGTTTCAATGTGAAAACGTTCTGTTGGCATTCCTTTTAGCTGAATCTAGTGGTGAGTTGCTCAGTTTTTGTTTGCCTGGGGATGTCTTTTTCTATTCTTTTCAGTAGGGTAGGTAACTGCCAGGTGAAGTATTCTATAAATAGCTCTGTCTCTGACACACTCTGTCTGTCTCTCTTTCTCTTTCTGTTTCCTATTCATGCTTCCCTCCCTGTCACTTCCTTCCCTCTCCTTCCTGTCCCCGCCCCACACACTTGTGCTTTAAATATATCATTGCCCTCCCTCCTTACTTGCACTGTGCCTGTTGAAAAGTCTCCTGGTACCCTTGTGGGAATTCTCTTCCTACTTGTTGCTTTTAAAATTCTCTCCTGGTGTGTGGCAGTAAGAACATGAGGTGACTTTGTAGTCTTCTTTTAGTGGATCCTTCTTAAGGCCCTTTTATCTTTGTGGAATTGGTTGTGCACAGCCCTGCCAAAATTTGGGACATCTTCAGATAGTGTTTGTTTGAATAAGCTATCAGTTTTTCTCTCCAACTTTTCTTTCTGGAATTCCTCTAATTAATATACATTCATTCAGTATATAACATTTCAGTCATGATGTACTGCATATTTAACTGTTGTCCTATAAGATTATAATAAAGGTACAAATTCTTCTCCCTTACTAATTTTACTAATATCTCCTGTTTTGATATATAAATACTTGCATTGTGTTAAAATTGACTATAATATACAATACAGTAACATTATGTACAGGTTTGCAGTGTAGGAACAATAGTTCTATACCTTGTAATCTATGTCAGTGATAACAAATTTTAGAGCTTTCATTGATAACAAACAGCCATCTACGGCGTGCACACCATAGGTTTACTGCTACTGACCTGGGTGCATAGGCTGTACTATTCAGGCTTGTGCAGCTGTACTTATTTCAGTAAAATGAGGAAATTGCCTAACAATTCATTTCTTGAAGCATATCGCTGTCATTCAGTATTTATATGCTTGATAGTGTCGCATGCTTTCTTTGCTCTTTTTGTCCCTCTGCTTGGTTCATTTTTCTTTATAACGTAGACTGCAATGAAAACACAATATTGGATTATTTAGTCTGTTACTGTGTTCTTCAATTCGAGAATTAATTCTTGATTCTTATGTTTTCAAATTCTTACTTAAACATCTTGTTTGTTTATATATTGTTTTCCTAATTTCATTGGATTGTCTGTGTTTTCCTTTACCTCTACAGATTACTCCTTTTTCTTTTGTTATGATTTCTTGTTTTATACATGTTTTCATTGCTAGGCATTGAACTCAGGACCTTAAGCATGCTGAGTTCATGCACTGGATTTCTTGGGTTATACAGATGACTATTTTTAATTCTTTTCAGACAATATGAAGATCTCCATTTCTTCTTTATTTTAAAGATAATAATAATAACAAAGCAAAAACAATAAAAATGAGACAGGGTTTCAGAACAAAATGAAAGGAATTAATAGTGGTCAGTATATTACATACTATTATCGTCAATGAAGTTGCTCAGATTACCAGATGTAAAAATGCAAGATTGATCAAACTGTGAAAGAGAATTAAAAATAAAAAACAAAAAAGTCCAGTAAAAATAATACAGTGTTTCACTAGACAAGATGGTAGGAATTCATCAGTGGTTGTTATATTGCATATTGTTGTCTTCAAATTAGTTGTTCAGATTACCAGATATAAGCACGCAAAATTGCTCAAAAAAATTAAGCATTAACTGTTCCTTTCAATAAACCATTAGACATCAGACATCAGTAGTACAGTTATCCCAGCTATCCTACACACACATATACATATATATTCCCTTCCGTATTTTTCTTTTTCTCTTTTCCCTCATCCCAGGTGTTACTTCTTTTGAGCAATTTCTTTCCTTTTTATAATATCTATTATGTGTTTTGGATTTTATTTACTCTTTCAGAGTCTTATACTGCACTAGGGAGGCAATATCATATTTACACATGTGGGTCCAATTTATTTCACTTACAAATGTAGTCTGTAGTTGCATCCATTTACATATAAACGCCTCAAGTTAGGGGCTGGGGATTTAGCTCAGCGGCACAGCACCTGCCTGGCAAGCGCAAGGTTGTGAGTTCGGTTCCTGGTACCAGAAAACAAACAAACAACAACAAAAAAAAGCCTCGAGTTTATCTTTGTTTATAGCTGAGTAATACACCATTGTATAAACATACCACATCTTTTTTATCCATTCCTCAGTTGATGGGCCTTTGGGTTGTTTCCAAGATTTAGCTATGAGAACTTGTGCTGCTATAAACATGGTGCATGTATATCACTGTGGTATGATGTGTTTAATTCTTCTGGGAAAATACCCAGAAGGGGAATACCTGGGTTAAATGGAAAGATCTCCATTTCTTTGGAGTTAGTTCTTGGAACTTTGTTTCCTTAGATCTGTCATACTTGTCTGATTCTGTTCTTTCATTACAGCCTTTTATTGGTGTCTGTATGTTTGAAGGACCAAGCACTTCTCATGTTCACAGGCTGGTTTTGGTAGGTTAACGTCTTTTCTTGTGAGGATCTCATACTGGTGGGATTTCTTCAAGATCATTGTCAGTTATATTTGGAGCCAGATCATGTGTCTTCCACTGGGTCTGTGGTAGAGTTCTTCTTTCATGTCTTTTTTCCATAACCTCCAGAGAACCATAATGTAGTACCCGGGTGGGCTGGAGTGTCTGCAAGACCTTGGTCCATATGGCTAGAACTGAGATGCAGGTATGTGCAGAACGCAGTCCCTTTATGATTTGCAGACCTGACTTTCTGAGGGACCCTGGAAAGGCTCCTGCTAGATCACAGATGAGCCCCTGGTCAGGCAGTAGTGCCTTAGCCGGTAGCCGAGTGAAGCTGGAAGTGAGTCAAGGAAGATCTTCAGGTCTTAGGCCTGTCTCAGTGGTGATGGATGTGCATGTGTCCCAGAGGTTTCTTAGTGTTACGCTCAGGCTGCACTGAGAAGGGCTACAGCTGCTTTTCATCTGCTGGAGGGCCTAGCTTATGTAACCTGGCTGTTGGAGTTTTGAGGTGTCTGCCTCCCTTTAATATCCTGAGTTCCAGGCTTGATCTGTAGCCACACCAGAAAGGACTGAGACCAAGATTCAGGGCTGTTCCAGTATTTGCTGTTTCAGTATTTGAGACTGTGTTAGTATTTGAGAAGTTGGCAAGCTTGCCCCAGGTACACAGAAGGGTGTGTCTCCTGGCAGTCTCTACTCATGAAGACTGACGTCAGATTGCATCTGAGTGGGGCTGAATCGTAGAATGGAAGGTGTTTTAGCATGAGTTGGAGACTGACACTGACAAGCAAATCTCCCAGCAGTTCTTTGTGTGGGCCCTGCCAAGAGAGGCAGGAGTTGCAATTCAGGACCGTTTTGTCTGGCTCGGAACTGAGATGTGTCTTCTGTAGCCTCGTGGGAGCAGCATTGACCCCAGACCATAGTGAGAGGGGCTGGATCAGAATTAGAGGGTATTTTGAGATCCATAATTAAGACCCGAGGAGGGTAGACATTTGGAGATAACAGAATACAGTTTTCTTTAGAAGTTATTTTCCCAAAACACAGTTCTTTTAAGTATATGGCTTGATTGGGTTCATATCCTAACTTTTTCACTTACTTACTGTTTGATTTTGGTCAAGTTACCAAACTTTTCTGTGAGTTTTACTCTTAGGGAGTATAGTAGTTCTTATTAGGATTATTTTGAGGGTTTCATGAGCAAAGCATTTTTTAACGACTTCTGGTGCCTAAATAAACACTGCTTAAGTTATTACTTAACTGTTAAGTATTCCCGTAAGAATTTGTGTTTAAAAAAATTGATATTTTAGCCAAAGGCATTCTGAAAAGGAATTTAACCCAAAAAATGTTGTTGTTTTTTTTAAATTAACATTCTTTTCATTTTAATCATCACTTCATTGCCAATTTTGTTTGGGGCATAATGCTATAATAATTGCAATATAAAAATGTCCTCCCTGACAAAAGGATAATTTTCCTTTATAAAATTTGGTTGTAGGTAAAAGAAGTATGTGAATTCACAGGTTTTCATAGAAGAGACCTTTAATCTAACCTCTAAATTATGTGTGTTTTTTGAGTGATCAAGAAAGGAAAAGTTTTCGGTAAGGGATGATTGTATTGGTTGAATGGGTAGGAGAAACATTCAGTGTAAAGGAAAAGGAAGAAAATGGTGATTAGTATATTTAAGGGAACACGAGGAGTAGTTGTAAGAATTACATAAACTATAGTATGGGTATCAGTAACCCTGTCCTTGAACAAAGGGAAGTGGAGATTTTTTTTAAGTTTGAGAAATTAAAAAAATTTTCACAATGAAAACCTTTATTTTGATTCTAGAAATGTAAATCTTCAGTTAATAACAATGATGTTTATTATATTCACTCTGAATTTTTTTTAAGGATTTGAATTTGTTGAAATGAGCAATCGTAAATCAAAGAACAACTTGCTACATGGAGAGTCCCTTTCTCAGGTTAGTATGTATTTATTTTAATCTGAAAGCTTATTACCATACAAAGGTGATCAGAGAAATAGTTGAAATAGTCATTTTTTAAAATTTGGCTATTTTTCTTAGTACTGAGGAACATTGTTTTCCTTTTTAGGGAAGTATCTGTTTTAGGAAGGTGTCTGTGTAAGGTAATAGGAACAATCGTATAGAAGCGAAGTTTTCCAAATTAAGTAAAGAATGATAGATCTGTTCTTAAACTCTTTTGTCAGTTGATAATTTCTTTTAATGTAAATCTGTTATGCTACCTCTTAATTCTGTCCTTTGTCTTTGGATAGTTGAATCCTGATGTGCATGTCTTCCTACAAGTGATATGATTTCAATCTTTAGACTATAAGTTTTGAATTACTTTTGTTATATTTATTCCTCTAAATGATGTTGTATATAAGTAGTGTATAGAATTGCAATTGTTTTTAACATACTAATAGTTTTTCTTACAATCTTGCTGAATTGTTTTATTAGTTCTAATACTGCCTTTGTTAAGATTTTCTGTATTCAACATTATGTGGTCTGCAGACAGATACAGTTTCACTTCTTCCTTTTCAATCTGGATACCTTATTTTTCTTGCTCAATGGCCATGGTGTGAACCTTCCAGAAAATATTAAGTAGAATAGTGAGAATAGATACTCTTGTCTTGTTTCTGATCTTGAGGAGAAAGCATTCAGTATTTCACCATTACATATGATGTTAGTGCTGGAGATTTTTTTTTTGTAGGTACCCTTTATTAGGTTGAGAAAGTTCCCTGTATTCCTAGTTTGTTGTTTTAGCATTTAATATTAAGTACATTCTATATTTCAAATACTATCTATATGCCTGTCCATTAAGAAGTTTATAATCCAGTAAAGAATGGACATTAATAATTTTACTCTGAATTTTCAGTTCACTGGCTTGTCTTCTACATTTATTTTTTAAATCAAAACTGAATGTTTTTATAGCCCTTTATAAGACCTTATTTTTCTGAAGGAAAATGACTCCATCTCAAAATTGTAACTGAGGTATAATTTACATACCTTTTCATGTGCAGCGCTTAGTTCTTCAGTGTAAATTAATACCTATACACCTGTTTAACCTACATCCAGCTCACTTTGGGATTGTGAGTCTCCTGAGAATTGTCGCCTCTCTCATACATTTTAATGAACTGTTTCTCTTTTAAAGGAAAGGATTAAGGCTTATCTTTGGATTTGTAGTGATCTTATCTACATAGAAGAGTATGTTGTGAGTCATAAAATACATACTATGAATCATTGGTATATATGTCCATTTGAGTGTTTTACGAGTATATCAGCTATTACCTACATAATTCCTATGTTGTGTTACAGGTAATTTCAATCTTAAAACAGCTCTGACACAAAGATATTACTGCTTGTATTTTATCAATAAAGAAACTAATATTAGAAAAGATTTAATCTTAATTATGCAAGTAGTTCTTGTGTGCCATTCCCGTTATTCTTTCTACTTTCTTTAAAACTGTGGGTTGTTTTAGTGAATAATTTTCTTTGCTTAGTCTCTGGTACATGTAAAGAGAACTCAGATTTATCTCTTTGGCATGCCGTTAGTTCTATGTTGTGAATCTTAGAGAAGCAAGTCATCTGGAGGCTTTTTTTTTCTCTCTCTTAATGCTGGGCTTTGGACCCTGCATATTATGCATGATAGGCAAGCAAGCATTCTATCACTGAGCTACCTGCCTGGCACTTTATTTTGAGACAGGGACTTGAACTTGAGACCATCTCCTTCAGCGTTCTGAGTTGCTAGGGTTACAGGTATATGCTGTCATGCTTCACCTTGGAAGCTTCTCATTTCAGCCTCTGGGGCTAAGCAAGAGATAGCTGCCTAAGGTTTTCATCTCTGAAAGACCACTATATTAGTAGCAAGTCCAGAAAAAGGAGTGAATTCAATGGTCCATTATTTAAAAAAAACTATAATTAGACTATGTGACATAATTTCTATAGCTAATCAAAGTTTTTCATTCCAGTGCTTTTCTTTCTTCTTTCCCTCCTTCCCTCCTGTGCCACTTGGGGAACCCAGGGCCTCAGTTATGCTAGGCAAGTGCTGTACCACTAAGCTGCATCCCTTTCCCTTGTTCCTTATCTTATATCCTAGGTAAATGTAGTGTCTCTCACAGAATTGAGCGTTTGCTTGTATGGTGAGCTAGTTTCATATTATTGTTTGTTTCTTTAATTTGACATTTCTTTACAAATTATTTATAATATGTTTTCAGGCATGGATCATAACCTTTTAGTTCTGCCATGCTCTGAATCTAAATGGTCGTAAAAACTATTTGAACTTTTAACTTCTTTTTCCTCAGAATCCTGACTTTTATGACAGGTAGATTGATAGTGATTGAATTAAGCCAGATTAATTGTCTTGGTGTCTAGAGAATGAGTGTGTGGTACCTGACCATTAGATTAGGTTGCATTGTAAACTTTCCTCCTTTCATTATTGCTTGACTGGTTCATCATATGAAGCGAAGTATTTGTTCATTTTCACTCACATGGACATAGTCCCCAGGTGCTTGTGTGCTTAATGTAATTCTCTCCCTTGTTTTGAACTGTCACAACTGAATTACCATCATTTCCACTTGGTAAGTAAAAAGAATCATTGGTTTTATAACTCATGAAAATGTTAGAAATTTTGAGTTCAAATATTTAGTGAGGTTTAAGTTAATTAAAACCTAATTCTGACTGCTGTAAGTGTAGTTTGTCATTCAGTTTTGATTGTACGCGTAATATTTTTCTCACATGTATTCATGTTATTTTCATTAGGTACAAAGAATTTTACGAGAAAGATTTTGTCACCAGAGTCCACATAATAACCTGTTTGGAGTGCAAGTACAATACAAGTAAGTCTAGTTAGCCCCTTGTCGGTTTTGAACCTACATACCAGGTACCTTCTAGGTTTTGTAAAAATTAACCAAAACCAATTGCTTAGTCACTTTCCCATTGCTGGGACAATATGCCCAACATCCACAATTTAAAAGAAGAGAGATTTATTCACTTCACAACCTATGGTGGGTTTGTTCCAAAGATAGCTTGCTTCAAGGCAGAAGCAGCACGGTGGAAGGGCATGGTTGAGGAAACCTGTTAGCCAGTGGTAGCCAGGAAGCCGAGAGAAAGGGAGGAGCCAGGGAAGAGAAGACACCCTTCAAACCTCACATGGCCCTGCTCTGAATGTGAGTTTGGGGGAGCATTTCGAATCTAAATCATAGCATACAAAGTTTATCCTAAAGATAAAAGTATACTTTCATGGAAGTTAAAATGTTTGCTCAATATATAGAAAAACTGAATATCATGAAACATGAGCTGGTACAGATACTTTCATAGTGATAAAGCCCTTTACCTAGTTTCTGTTATCTTGCATTGTGGAGATAATTCTTTCTTGTCCTTAGTATTTGGCAGTCAATTCTGGAGTTCAAGACCAGAGTGTTAATTTCAAAAAGACCTCTACACACAAGCGTTTCAAGAATTGCCACTGTTGTCATTTGACCACCTACCGTCATAAAACCAAATAGACTCCAAATTTACTAGATTTCTTCATCAGGTTTCCCAAGAATTATCACTGGCATGCTGTCTTCTCTCTTGTATTCTTCTGTATAAGACTATTCAGAGTATAAGTCAAGAGCCTAGAGGAAAAAGACAAGAATTTGTGTTGCATGTGCAGATTCAGCTTTCAAAAATACTACCTGCCAGATTATTCCAGCTTTGATTTTTAAATGTTGGCCTATTCATGCCATTTTAGACACTTACTTGAACTGCTAAAAAGAACAGCTGTCCATGGAGAAAGTAACTCTGTGCTCATCGTTGGACCCCGAGGATCTGGCAAGACCATGGTAAAACTGCTCATTGCAGATAACATGAAAAATGCTTTTCATTATTTTGTACTGTTTTGCTTTTAATTACAGAGGTTATGCAAAAGTCTTACAAAATTCGTGTGGCTTATTTGAGTTGAGCGTACCTTTTTTTACCTCACCTTTCCTTCCATGACAGTTTTTTCTATCATACTTCTTTGTCTCAAAGTTCTAGAGGTGGCCAGTGGAGAAAGAAGCTCAGATTCATTGAGCACTTACTTGTCCTTTTATTACATATGCTCTTTTACGTATTCTTCAAACCTTCAGAGGTAAGGTTTTTCTCTATTTTAATAGATTAGGGAATTAGCAAGCCACTTGATGCCCCACTCCGTTTTCTTTTTTCTGTTTTTTTTCTTTTACTATTTAAGCAGTTTTTTTCTTGTCTTTTCATGTTTTTACTAATTTTCTTCTACTTCTCCTTATTATATTTGCTTTGTTACTTCAAAAAGATGTTCTTGCTTTTCCCTGCTTTCTATAAATGTTTAGTTCTGACTAAATATATACCTTAAAATGTGGATAACAAGTAAAATTACTATGTATGTGTGAGAGGGAAAGGGAGGGGGAGAGAGAGAGAGAGAGTGTGCGTGTGTGTGTAAGTGTAGGGGAGTGAGGTTTGAACAAACCTCTGGGTGATTTTCCGTTTAGCCACATTGCTGACCTCTTTGTATCTTTATTTTGGGACAGGGTCTCCCTAGTTGTCCAGGCTGGCCGTGAACTTGTGATTCTCCTGCTTTACCTTCTTGTTGGGCCCATTGTTTTCTGTCAGTACACATTTGCAGTACATGACGTGCACATTCCTTGTGTGGACTTGGGACATATGCGCAACTCCTCTTAATTATTTTTTCGTCCTCTTTCCCTCCCCTTCCTTTTCCCACCCTCCATCTCTTGATTCCCTTTCCATTTGAGAAGGATCTCTCTACTTCCTATTACCTTTCTTTTATTTTGCTCTTTTTTGTATGGTTCGGGTTTTTCATGTAAAAGAAACCATGTGATATGTAAACTTACGTCTGATAGTTTTCACGTTTTTATTTTTAAAGGAATATATATTGATTCTACAGTATGTAAAGTGAGGAACTTAGGGTTTTACTTTTATAACCCATTTCTGTTACGGCTTAAAATATACAAATTGGGAGGTTAGATATTTTTAGTATTAAAACTTTTCATAATGTATTTATAATCATTTTTAATTGGTTCTAACTTTTTTCATTCCTCATCTCCAGCTTCTATAATATTTCTTATTCTTGAGTTTTTACTGTGGTTTCCTTAGCATTTGACTTGTGTCAGTTTGGGTAGTTTTTACAGGAAGACTGTGTGACTAATATCCTTTTGAGCTGTTACATATTTTTCACAGCATGGCTAAGAATTGAATTCTTAGATCACATTTTTCCTGATTGGAATTACATTCACATTGATTCCTTGACTCACTCGTTTTGTGGTAAGAAGGGTTGGACCCAGAGCCTTTGCACTAAACTGTACCTCCATCCTGTTTTTAGTGTTTTATTTGAGGCAGGGTCTCAGTAAGTCAGTAAGCTGTCAAGGTTGGGCTCAGACTTACAATCTTTCTGCCCTAGCCTCCCAGCATGCCAGGATTATAGGCATGTACAGCCAGGCCTGTCCGATTTTACTTTTGTCTTGTGAGGAAATGCAAGGGACAGGCTTTTCTTTTTTGCCTTTATAAATCATCAGTCTGTGTAGGCTGCATTGCAGAGTTATAAAAATCCCAAATTTCAGTAGCTTAGTCAACAGAAATTTATTGTTGCTCTTGCTCTGTGCACCTTGTGGATCATAAAAGGGTGTGGACCTTTGTAGGCCCTTGGAGGAATTTTAGAGATTATCTCCTCTTCTTCTCCTACAAGTACTTCAGTAGGAAAAGGAAAGAAGGAGGTGAGCCATAGACATGCTCACAAAACTTGCCACCTAGTGGTGAGCAGAACACATCTCCTGTCATAGCTTGTGTCTAGATGTCCCCCGAAAGCCTCATGCAGACATCGGTGGGGCTTTTTCCAAGGTGGCTAGATCTAGCGTGTGTGACACTGGGATTGATTCATGGTGCAGTGCTAGGCTCAGGGGCAGCTAGGATTAAGGGTGTGAGCGCTGCCCACCCTAAGTAGTCTGGGTAAGATACAAGGGGCAGAAAGATGCTGTTACGCATCTTGTTGCTTGGTACTTTCTGTCCACCATGAACTGTTGCCTCTCTGCTGTGTGCCACTCTGCCTTGGAACCAGCTGATTATGGATTGAAACCTCTACAAACTGAGCAAAATAAACCTTTCCTCTAACTTTGGGTATTACGTCTCAGCAATGAGAAAAATAACTAACACAGATCTCATAGTTCCTTGGATAGAGTGAGCGGCATGGTCACTCCTAACTTCAGTGGAGCAAGGAAATGTATTCCTGCTAAGGTACCTAGAAGGGAGGTTAATCAAAAGTATTGGGTGAGTGTCACAGGTAGCTAATTTGTTTTATGTTTACGTGTGACATTTTTTCCCTACTTGGATAGTAGCTTTCTCTTTAATCTTAGAAATACGAAAATTTTAAGGTCACTAAGTATTGGTAATAAAAACGGATGTTCTATGAATTTTCTTATATGAATTAGATCTTAGATCTTCTCTTAAGATTATCTCTTTTCCAGTTTTCATTATTTTATCTTTGAGAAAGGATTATATGTTTAGAGAACATTTTTTTAAAATTTTTATTTTAAAGCAAATAGAACAAAGAAAGAATAATAGCAAAATAGAAACAACGCAAGGACATTAAACAACATTTTTAAATGAGTACTTTAATTCTCTGAGGAACTCCATGGTGATACAGTCGTCCCTCACTATATCACAGTTCACTTATTGTGGCTTCATTCTATCGCAGGTTTTGTTTTTTTTTTTTAAATATCTTATTCTGTATCACGGAGTTTTCACTATTTCATGGGATTTTGCAGTATGTAGATATTTATATAATATTTATGATTTTAATTATTTCCGCCTAAAAAATTTAAAACAGTATAAAAATATTAATTCAAACATGTTAAAAGAATATCAAATCAAAATAAAATGTAGTATATATTTCATCAGTGGATGAGTGCCGTACCATAACAATGGAAATGCAGTACGCCACTACCGCTTGTGCAAGTTTGCCAACGTGAGATTGTACACAGCACACTATTGGTTGATGGAGTGGAAGGCAGCCAACCACAGCACTGTGTTCTGTATCCTGGGCACTGACTGACTCATTGACCATAGCATCGGTCTGTTGGCTCTCCTGCACCGTGCCCATACATTCAGCATCTCTCCTTGTCCACTTCACATTGAGTACCCATGTCGAATTTTTCATGTTGTTAAAATTACGTAGGTTTAAGAGTGTAAAAAATGTTTTAAGAGCATATAAAGTTTTATAAGAGTGTGGAAAATGTTGAAAAGAGTGGGAAGGGTTTATGGGAATGTGGGAAGAGTTTATAAAGCCTTAAAACATACATAAATAATAAAATAAATATAAAGCCACTACTTCGCAGATTTTCACCTGTCACAGGGGTCTCTGGAATGTAACTCCCGCAGTAGGTGAGGGATCATTGTAATCTTAATTGAGATGTAGGAATTGATACAATATAGAGATATCATTCCATGGTTAGCTGTGCATCAGGAAGCAAAATATTAACAGGAGAGGTTAAGTCTCAGATGTCTTCATTTTCATTAATAATGTACTTCATTTTCATTAATTCATTCAGAATTCAAAACTTCACTTTTGAATTTTGTCCCTAAAGACATGAAAATTCAGAAAAAAAGCAAAAATGTTCTACATACAAATGAATAAATTCCTTGTTGTTAGTAAATTGGCTAAGACAAATGTATTTTTAATAGAAAAATTGAGCACGTAGTATAGAGTATCCCCATTTAACCCTTCCTCCAACAGATACAGTTTATCATCAACACCTTGTTTCAGTGTGATACCTTTCTTACAGTGAACCAATGTCAATACATTATTATTAAATTAACTGAAGTCCATACTTTAAGGTTTACTCTTTGTGTCACACAGTTTTATGGGTTTGACACATTAATAATGTTAGGAATGGGAATATAGCTCAGAAGCACAAGCGCTTGCCTGGCAAGTGCAAGGTCCTGAGTTTGCCAGTACCAAAAAAAAAAAAAAAAACCAAGACAAATTAATAATGTTACTTATACACTATTACAATGTCATAGAAATAATTTTACTCTCTGTTATGGCTTTTGTCTAGATTTTTTTCCCTCAAACCTTATGCACTCATAGGGGAGGCTTTTTCAGAAGTGGCTGGAACTAGTTTGTGGTGCTGGGATTGATTAATGGTGCGGTGCTATTCACAAGGACACTAGATTAAGGGTGTGAGTGCTGGGTGCTACCCGCCCTGAGTAGCCTGAGTAAGATATAAGGGTTAGAAAGAGCTGTGGTTGTCCCTGCCACGAACTGTTTGTACTCTTTGATGCTTGTCTGTCACGCCACCCTGCCTTGGAGCCAGCCAGTTATGTTCTGAAACCTGTACATACTGCAAGCCAAATAGCCCTTTCCTCCCTTAACTTTGGGTGTCGGGTGTTTTACTTACGAGAAAAGTAACTAAGACACTTCCCTAAAACTCCCGTGCTTATCGCACTCATTCCTCTTTCTGAACCCCTGGAAACCACTGATACTTGCATAATGTCCATAGTTTTGTCCTTCCAAAGTGTTACATATTTGGAATCATACAAAACAGCCTTTTTCTATTGACTTCTTCCACTTGGCGGTATGTGTATAAGATTTTTCTTTTTCTTTTCTTTTTTTTTTTTTTGGCTGGTAAACTCATTTACTTTAATTACTGAATAATGTTCCATTGTATACACACACGTACCACATTTTGTTTATCCATTTGTGTATTGAAGGACATCTTATTCAATTCCAATTTCATAGTTACAAATAAAGCTAATAAGGTCATTTGCATTCAGGTTTTTGTGTAGATATGTTTGGATATTTAGGAGCACAATTAATTAGATCATACACTAAGACTATGCTTAGCTTTTTTTTTTTTTTTTTTGTATTGGGAATCGAACTGAGGACTGTGTGCTTGCCAGGCAAATGCTTAGCTTTGTAAGATGCTACCAAACTGTTTTCTACGTGACTACATCATTTTGCTTTTCCACCAGCAGTAAGTAACTTCCCTGCTGCTCCACGCCCTCACCAGCATTTGGTTTTGCTAGTTCTCTTTAAATTACAGCCATTCTGATAGGTGTGTAGTAGCATCTTTTTTATATTTTCTTGTCCATTTTTAGAATGAAATTATCCAAGTATTGAACTTTTTTCTCATTTCTGTGTCTGTTATCTTTTTTTAAAATCTTTTTTGCCCATCCATCAGTATTCTACTGTGTGATAAGTATGATTTGCTTTATTGTCAGTTTCTGTTGTTTGCTCCCAATACTATTTGACATTGAACATCTTTTCATGTGTTTGTTTTTCATCTGTATATCTTTGGTGAGGAGTCTTAAGTCCATTTTTTAATTTGACTGTTTTCTTTTTGATACATTTTAATAGTGCTAGGTGTATGATTTTTAGTTGTCTTTTAAAATATTTTCTCCACTCTAGCTTATTTTTTCATTCTATTGAAAGTGTCTTTGCTGTAGAGGATATTTTTGATTTTAACAAAAGTCGAGTTTGTCAATTTTTCTTTCATGGATCCTGGTTATGGTGCTGTATATAAAGTCTCATCACCAAACCTCAGGTCAGCTAGCTTGTTTTTTTCTTTCCTGTATTCTTGAAGTTGTAAGTATTGCATTTTATGTCTAGATGTGTGAATTATTTTGTTAATTTTTGTGAGAAGCTAGTTTCCCTTTTTTGCATTTGATTGTCCATTTGGAGGAAAGAAACCTTTTTCTCTTGAATTGCTTTTGCTTGTTTGTCAAAAAGTGATTTGACTTTGTGTGTTTGTGACTATCTCTGAGGTCTCTTTCTACAGCCTTGATTTATCTGGTCTTTTTAGGTGATCGTTATCGACATCTCATGGTCTTACTGTAAATTTAGAGTAACTCTTGGAGTACTTTACCTTCCCATGTTAACTTTAGAATAAATTTGTCAATATCCACAAAATGTGGCCAGCAGTTGTCTTTTGGGTGTCACCTATCCTACAACTTTGCTATCTGTAATTGCTTATCCACAGTTGGTTAGTTTTTGGCCATTCTTTGAAATTTTCAACTTAGTCAGTCATGGTTCCTTTTAAAGAAAAAAAGGACAGCTCTCATTGGTCCTTTCCTTTCTTAATACCTTTTTATTTCCTTTTCTTATTTTGTTGCATTATTCATAACTCATGTCTTAAGATTTGATCATAAGGTTATACCTTACATTCTCTCTTAATAGGAATTGAGGCCTCAAGTAATAAATAATACCCTTGTAAAAATATTTTCTTGTACATTTTTAGAATTAAATTATCCAAGTATTGAACGTTTTTTCTCATTTCTGTGTCTGTTATCTTTTTTTTTTAAATTGTTTTTGCCTATCCATCAGTATTCTACTGTATGATAAGCATGAATTACTTTATTGTCAGTTTCTGTTGTTTGCTCCCAATTTGGTACTGCATTCTATTTTTCTCAAAACCTTTTTCTTTGTCTGTGTCCTTGTCATGCACTTTATTAGTTTATTGTTTTTAAGACTGGTTTGAACAACTCATACTATTTCCTTCATGAAATAGGCATTTTTAATATAATTATTCACTAGTTTTATATTTCCTTTCATGTTATAGCATCTTTTTATACATCCCTATGTTGGTTTTCTTCTCTGTGCTCAAGTTGAAAGGAAATAGCTAAGAGCATAATATTTATCAGTTAATAAAATGGACACATTGTTCTTAGCCATGGTGACAGTTTATCTAATTGTTACTTATTAAAACTGAAGCTATGTTTAGTGCTGTGAAGTCATTTATCTGGTGTGATTTAACTGAAATCTGAAGGAGTCTCCTACATGCTATGCTATTTTTGTAATTTACTCGTGCTCATGCTGTGCTCCAGTATGGAGAGATTGGGGGTGCATTGACTTGTGGCACTTCCGTAATTTGTGTATCAAGGAGTACTCTGACATGTGGAAAGGGTTGAACACATTTTCAGATACGTCTTATTCTTAGACATCTCAATAGTACCTTATGTAAACTCAGATTAAAACTAGGATTACAGTGTATATAAAAGGCTATCTTTGCCTAGCTTACTTGAAATATAAATATGCAAAAGCTACAATTCATTGAAAAGGACAGGAGATAGTGTGGCTTATATTGCAAACAGTTAAAAAGAGATGTGGTTCTAAGTGACAGGTTGAGCCCTAGAAAATGGTTATCTACATAGATTTACTATAAATAAACTTGGTAGATGATCAGATAGGATGTTTTTTCTAGTAGTATATTGATGACTCTTGAGTTCATTACTGTTCGAAAATAGTAATTAATGATGAGCATAAAAGTCCTCGGATGTTGGCAGGTCCAAGGGAATTAGCCAGGTATATTGGTAAAATTAATTTTCAGAATGCGGAAATTACTTAACTAAATTGGTGATGTTGGTCATTGTAACATTACATTTTTTGTTACTGTATAATATGAACTATTTAAAAGCGATAGGGTATCCATGAAAAAAACTGACTTAAAATATGGATTTGATTTCCTAGCTAACTCCAGAATAAATCTTAGCAATGCCCATGTTGGAACTAAAATATTATTTGAAGATATATTTCCTAATATATTTAGTTTATCGTTTCTGACCATACAAAAACCACATGGTAGCAGTATTGTGCGGAGACAGGCAAGTAGTAAGTTGGGGTATAAGTTCAGTGGGAAGAATCCTGTGGCATATGTAAAGTGAAATGTTATTAATGTATTACATTTTATAAAGGTTTTGAAATGTTTATCAGTCACTTAGCAATATATACAATGATTTATGAATTAAAACAAAATGCTGTATAAGTAAAGTACAAGACAAGGGGAAGAGTAGGGGCTGGGGATTTAGCTCAGCGGCAAAAGCGCCTGCCTGGCAAGCGCAAGGTCATGAGTTCGGTTCCCGGTACCGGAGAAAAACGAAAAAACAAAAAAAAAAAACAAGACAAGGGGAAGAGTACAGTGGAGTACCAAGAAGAGCATGCAGAAGGATGTTCTGCAGCATCAAGTTTGTATTCAGTTCTCCCAACATGCAAGGGTGTTTGTGCTCATCACTAAGAGGCATTCTGTAGTTAGGGCTGTACGTGCGTAATGGGGTCTAAGCTGAACCAGAGAAACTGCGTCAGGGTCACTTCTCAGCTCGACTACTACTGAGAGACGGCGGTGGTAACTTGGAATTTTTCCTTTTTAAGACGACCTAGACTTCCTGTGATCTAAAGTAGAATTTCTTGTACTTTGAAAGCCATACAGACATACCAGGAATAGTTGATACTTCTCATGTCCTGTTGTGAAACTTAACAATTTAAAATAAGAATGAATTTTGCTCCTTTCTTTTACACAAAGATGATGTAGTCACAAAAATTAATAGCATATCACAAGTACAAATAGTATTTTATTTGTAAAAATCACTCACCTGTTGTCTCATTGACTTTGTTAAACAGTCCTTTTTGTCCTCACTAAATTTTGATGTCATTTGCACTAACACGTGTATATTCAAGCTCTTTGTAAAGCATTTATTTTGTGAGGGTACTCTTTTATTCTGACATTAGAAAGAATAGTTCTTCAACATTCCTCTTTTGAAAGATTTTTAATTTCTCTTAATTCTGTTTGTTTTCAAATTTTAACAGAATGTTTGCTGTGGTAATAATAATAGATGCATATATTGCCTTGTAAGAATGACAGGGTGCTTCATCAGCAACAGTATTAAGGATGTAGCATAGATAATACAAATGCGAGGCTTTATGATAGAGTACCTTAAGGTGCTGTAACACTTTCTGAGTTGTGCTATATATTTTAGTGGTAATTATTAGTTGTAAATTATTAGTAATCATTTTTTTTCATTTTATTCTCTAAGTGTCTTCAATAAAGGCTTTCTTCATGTACTAGGATAGCTCCTTTTTCAATTTAACTTCTTGGTGTTTGTTTGTTCGTGATAATGTACAAAGTAATTCTGGTTTCTCTAGGAATTCCTCTGTTGAGGGGTAGATGGTTGACTACTGTTTAGAGCTGTTCTGATTTGTATTTTTCAGTACCTTTAACTGATTTTAATGATATGTAGTAGAGTATATGAAAATAAAATATACTAAGATAGGAAGTTCTTAAAGAACTACACTTGAGGGTGATGTATTTGGGTAGATAATTGAGAGTGCGTGTTATTTGTGGCTCTGATATGTTATGAATTGTTAAATAGAAGATATTAGTTAAACTTTTTATCTGTAAACTATTGGAAAATTATTGAGCAATTTTTATATTCTGATTTTACAACAGGGACTTTTCATCTTTTCCCTAATTTAAATATTCTACAAACTTTGTATTTATTTAGTTAATAAGCCATGCTTTAAAAGAGCTCATGGAAATAGAAGAAGTGAGTGAAAATGTATTACAAGTTTATCTAAATGGTAAGTATGTCATAATTTGGCCATCAGAAGTGGTATAAATGACTCGCACATGGTTTTGTTTGGTTTTGTTTTGTTTTCCGGTACTGGGAATCGCACTCACGACTTCACACTTGGGAGGCAGGTGCTGTGCCGCTGAGCTAAATCCCTAGCCCATGCATATGGTTTTTATATGGAAAAAGTAAACTCATTTGAATGTTTTAAACCTGTACAAATAATGACATTATTAAAACTAGATCTATGTTTTAACAGGCTGTAATTTAACAAACCATATACAATATTTATAGAAATTAAAAAATAATAAGTGTTACTTTTTCTAAGTAATGCTATTCCCAAGGAAGTCTGTTTTGTGACTCTACCCAATGCCCTCATTTTCGGTTTTTTGAAAGGAAGTAATATGAACTGTGATTTTAATTGTTTTCTTTTTAATTAAATTAAAAAGCATTGGAAAATATACTTGACTAGAAAATAACCATGTCAAATACATTTTTAATTAAATACTTTCAAATGGGCTATATTTCAGGACTGCTGCAGATCAATGATAAAATTGCTTTGAAAGAAATCACAAGGCAGTTACATCTGGAAAATGTAGTGGGAGATAAAGTTTTTGTAAGTATCATTTTGGTTATTAAATAAGCTTCAAAGTCAAGTCTGTTTAGTAGTGATGTTTTCATTTCTGGAAGGTTAGAGAAAGGGATCAGATTCAGAATTACAAATTTTGTCATAAAAATATGTAATGTATTAAGATACATTTAGATATCAAACCTTTATTTGGATTTTGGAGTAGCTTAATACTAATTATACAGTCGCTAATAAATCCAGGTTTAAATAAGTATTCAGAGTTTGTTCCTTTGTAAAATAAATTAAGATTTCTCTATTTAGTGATAGTCTATTTCTACTGTCCTGAGACTTGTGTGGCGTGGGCATAATAGAAAAATGTGCTGAATTTGAAGTTGTAATAAATAAGTCGTGTTGCCTTTGCCTTCCTGTCATTTGACCCCCTGTTGGTGTTTGGCTAACCAGGGTCTCTGAATTTCAGATTTCTTACTGTATTGAGTGTTACTTGTTTACGTACTTCGAACAATCATTCCAAAGGAAAAAATCAACATTGTCTTTTATTTAGAGTAAAACAAATATTTTTCTGGGTGGTAATGTGCAGTACAAACATCAGTGGCCTTTTCATTAAGTTTTCAGAAATTTATAATGCAGCTTACAGTCAGGATAGTGAACATCCGTAACGTAATGGGATTTGAAGTGCTTTGCAACTTGCATTAAGCATTTACTGTCAACTACTGTATAAGGCCTTAGAAAATGGGATTAATTGGTGTCCTCATTTTCATTGAAAAATTAACCTACCATACTGCTTATGCAGTTGGCTGAGAGTATATACATTCAGGTTTAGTTTTCTGGCCACTGATGAGTAAGCTGTTCCGTCACTCAAACGTCCTAAGTCTGTGCTCTTTGTTGCAGTGATACAGCCATAGTTGTAGAAGCCTCAAAGCATTTAGGAATTGTCCTTTATTATTTTTAAAGTGTTCATCCAACCGTATGCTAGCCTTCCATACTCTGCAGGACTTTGAAGGCAAGTTCAAAATGCCACTTTTGTAATGTTCTGACTCTAATCTAGAATGTAGTATCTAAGCTAGTGGTCTACTCTAAGCGTGACTGTAAAACAAAACACAGTTGTTTATCATCCTACCCTGGTTGTCACTGTTACTATCATCGTCACATACAGTCAGCCCTTTGCATATGCAATTATATTAGTCAGCTTTTTGTTACTGGGCTAGGTGTCGTAGGGCCTTTTCAGAGGTGACTCAATGTAGCACGTGTGATGCTGGGTTTAAGGGCGTGTGATCAGTAAATCAGTCCACTGATGGGTTTAGCCTAGTTCTGGTGAGGATTAAGGTGCAAGTGCTATGCCCACCCTAGGGCAAGTAGCTGTCATACGGTACAAGGGACAGAAAGAGTCTTCTCTCTCTTCTTGCTTGTGGGCCCCGTCAGCTGTTCTCTGCCATGCCACCCTACCTTGGAACCAGCCAGTTATGGACTGAAACCGTTACAAATTACGAGCTAAATAATCCTTTTCCCCTTTAACTCTGGGTGTTGTGTATTTTGTCCCAGCAATGAGAAAAGTAAGACAGTATGTGTAGCTTATATGCAAATACTATGGCATTATTAAGAAACACTTGAGCATCCAATAGATTTTGGTATCTATGGGTAGTCCTAGAACCAATCCTCCAAGGATACCAAGGGATAACTGTAGAGATTATTATTTACCTCCATTGTATAATTAGGTATCTGAGGCTGGGTGAACATTATTAGCTTCCCTAAGGTTATAAAATGGAAGAGACCATATATTAAGAATATAACTCACTCAACCTAGAGCTTTTATGTTTGATGTACTTGTAGAAAGCATAAGTGTATTACACATAAATCCATACATATCTATGTAAGAATATACTCATAGGTTTATTTTATATATATGCATACATACTTAGTATGGCCTTATGATGGCCTTTTAAACAGAAGCCAAGACAGACTACTTTTGAATCATTTGACCACTGACTTTGCAAGGGATTGTCCCTCTGAGGCTTTGTTTTATTATGGTAAATTATGGACCTGAGAAGTAGTACTAATGTAATAGCATGCCTTTATCACAGTATGTGAAAGTTCTTAAAAACCAGTGATGCTGTTTTATATCAGATCTTTCAGCTTGGGAACAAGTAGGGTTTTTTCTTTCACATTTCTTTAAATTAAAGTTGACAAGTCCTTGAAAACACTCTGAATAAAATAAAAAGTAACTGTAATGAAAAAGTATTTCAAAGAAGCCTCTACCAGTAATGTGAATCATCCGGATAAATACATCTCCTACTTTTAAATCTTATCTAGAATGGTTAATTTGTATCCAAAAATAGGTTGGCTATATTCCAAGTAAACATAGCCAGAGTTCTTGTGATTAGAAACAATTCTTCTTTATGCTGTGGAATAAACACAGCCATACTTTCAAATATGTTTCCCCTGCCTTTCCTGTTGGCTCTCCATTTAAGGCTGTAGTACTCTTTGGTGGTACAAATTAAATTAAGAGTTATGGAGCCTGATATGTTTAAAGATACAAAGTAGAATGCATTTTTAGGTCTCCTAACTATACTTAGAATATATCAGCTCTAAAAATTTAACAGTTTTACAGATTTTTGTCTGGAAAATATAAAATTTCAAACATAACATACTATCACTATTTTCAGTGCCATCTCTGCTTTTATATTTAAAGTTTTACTAGAGACATTCAGCTGAGAGGCTGGCCAGTGACTGTCACTGACTGGAAACCAAAAGTAGTTTTTGTACAAACTCTAAGGATCAAGCATCTTTTACTCATTTTACTAAACAGCTTGTTTTATTATCTTCTTTTTCTTGTTTAGGGAAGTTTTGCTGAAAACTTTTCATTTCTTCTGGAAGCTTTAAAAAAAGGTAAATATTAATGTGTTTAACAGTACAGAAGAAGTACTTTTATTCTCCCCCCTTGATTATGAAGGTAATTGCTTTTACAAACAAAAAAAATACAATACAGAAAACAAAAGAATACATCAGTGATTATCTCAACATATGGTTGTTAATTTTTATTCACCTGCCACATACCATTGCTATAGAAACCTAGATAGAATAACTTTTTTGCAAGACTGAAGTCCTTTTACCTATTATTTTGTAATCAGTAAATTTATGTGGTTTTATAAAGTAGGTGATCCATATATGCTTGAGTTTCAGAGGCTAAAAGACAGTAAGTAGTCTAGAGATTTCAGAAAAGTTGGCATAATTAACTATTAATGAAAATTTTTCAATTTCAGGTGACCGGACTAGTAGTTGCCCCGTGATCTTCATATTGGATGAATTTGATCTTTTTGCTCATCATAAAAACCAGACACTTCTCTATAATCTTTTTGACATTTCTCAGTCCGCACAGACTCCAGTAGCAGTTGTTGGTCTTACATGTAGATTGGTAAGTCTATTTTTAAAAATTGATTATAATGTTTAGAAAACTGTAAAGATTGATAATTTCTGCTGTTGTGCTTTGATTTTGTGTGTGTGTATGTGCGTATTTTCAAAGTGCTTGAAACCAACTCAGAATGATACTATCCAAGCTTTTTAAGTGCACATCTCCAAAAATAAAAGAGGTTCTTTTTATCAAACCGGAACAGTAGGTGGCTTCTTAGTTGCTTGGGGGATTTTACAGTGATTTCCACCAGAGTCCCAGTGTCACTGTCACCTAACATGCTGATGACTGTGTCACATGCTGAGGCTTTTGTATCAGTTTATCTGACCACAGTCTCAGAGTATGAACTTTCCTACTGAATTCAAATGAAGGCGATATTTAATCGTCAGCTCTGTTATAGTGTGACTGCCGTGTGTCCACAATTTTCTGTCATTTTCCCTCTGAATTCCTAATATTCTTGTGTGGGGCCCATCTACCTATTTTCCTTTCCTACAGCTTTTTCTCCTTTTAGAAAAGTGAAACTTTTTACTAACCAGCTTTCAGCAGTGCTCAGACGGTGTTGCCTCCTCGGCCTGTGTGCTCTAGTACTTAAATACTGTGTCTTCTGAGAAGATCTGGCTGGTATTTCACATGACTTTTTTTCCTTAAAAACAAACCAGCAGATTCCTTTGGGTGGAGATGGCACTGGCAAATGTTTCTGAGCCAGAGAAGGACCAACTGAAAAGCCAGTAGCTCAGTGGCAACGTAACCACAGGCAGTTTTATTCTGTATGTATAATTCTCCAGTTATGTAGCGCTTTCCATATACTTGGACCTATGTGTGTGTGTTTGTAGGGGGAAAACAAACGGATGCATGGAATAAATACTTCACTACCAAGCAGCGTCCCCCTCCTTCAAAATATTTTTTTTCTTCTTCCTGTTCCTCTGTCTCAGTTTGCTAACTGCTTTCACAACTTTTCACAACTAAAATATCTTGCTTTCTTTCTCTTACCAAGTCCAGGCTTTCATGGTTGCATAGGGTATTAGTTTCACTGGTTTTCCACCATCTAATGTAGAATTCCTCTTCAATAGAACGTAGCTGTACGGTATCTAGACATAATAGCCTCTTTTAATTTTCATGCTAGCAACTGTACAATACAAAACATTTCAAGTTTTTCTTTCTCCCTTCCACTAACCGAAACTATTAGTCCTCAGCTGTCTGTACTCAACTTACTTCCTCTATATCAGGGCTTTTTAATAGAGGAACTATGAGGATCAGATCATTTGACTAGATTTAAAATATTGAATTTCTGGGCCTTGCTGTGCCCTCTTCCATAACAGAAAACTTTATTATAGGATCTCGATAATCCATGTAAGAGAAAATATGAGTCTCAAATCTCCCTGCTTACTTTTCATCCAGCGCCGCGGCTGGAAGTTAGTTTCATTTATCCTGTTACCTCTCTTTTCTATCCGTGTGTTATTTTGAGACAAAAGTAGCTCCAAATGCCTCTTCATCAGTGTTTCAAAGTCTATTTTCAGAAGAAAAGGACTCATTTAAAAAATACATCTCCTTATTATAGTTATTATACCTTAAATATTAGCAGTGATTCCTTAAAATCATCAAATATATTAATGTTCACATTTGGGATGGATTTTTTTAAAATAGCGTCATTGTTGAGATACAATTTTTAAATTTTACAGTGTCCTCATTTAAAACGCATAGTTCACTGGGTTTTTGTATATCACAGTTCTGCGTATATCTCCACAGTCAATTTAAGAGGGCCTTTAGCCATTCCCCAATTACCCCCACCTCCATTTTTACCCCAGCGCTGGGCTACTACAAGTCTACTTTCTACATAATAAAGTGCTGATTGTGATTTACTCCTTGTGGACATTTCATATAAATTCAGTCATATGACATAAAGTCTGTTATCGCTAAACTTCTTTCCCTTAGTGTCTTCAGTGTTTGTCTATATTGTAATACATAACAGTGAACTCCTTGTTCTTGCTGAGTAAATGATAATTCCACTGCATAGCACAGTTTGTTCACACCTTCCTCAGTTGATTGGTATTTGGAGTATTTACATTTTTAAATTTTTTATAAATAATGCTGTTATGAATATTTGTGTATACTTTTGGGGGGATGTTTTCATTTCTCTTTAGTTTTTAAAATTTACTTTATGTGTTTCTGTTAATTGTATTAGCAGAGTCTCTAGTAACCAGTATTTTACTTTAAACAGCAGGGTTTTTACTTTCCACACATGAGAGAGTGTATGCCGTGTGTCTTTGTATCTGGCTTATCATTTCATGGCCTCAGATTTTCTCCATGTTGCTGCAAGTAGCAAGGCTTCCTTCTGTATGACAAATACCTCCCTGTGTATGTGTACCATATGTATCTAGTATTGGTTCTTACATGTGCTAGTGAAATGGTTGGTGACATGTTAATGCTATCTATGTAGCATAACATGTTTTCAAAGGTAGCTCAAGTTGAGTTTTAAAAGGAGATTTAGCACGGACAATTCTGCTCATCAGTATGACTTACAAAGGCAGCCTTACCCACGGCACTTTTGCTGTCTTACATAGTTTTGAGTGCAGGTCGGCTTTGTGGAAGTATATCTTTCATCTAGGAAAACTTTGTATTTCCTCAGAAGTAGTACATGTTAGTTACCTTTCTTTTCTAGTGTTCTTTGACTATAAATTTGATTACTAATTTCTTCTTAAGGAAAAATAACAGACGTATGCTGTTCTAAATGCATCATTACGCAGACACCACAGACGAGGGATTAACAGTGCGGTGCTGTTGTCCTGCCCGTTTCCCCTTCAGTACAGTCCCTTTTACTCACCACAACAGAGTAATTTTGGAAGTAGTTTGGCAAATGGAACTTTTTCTCTGATGCGCATTTTGCTTTCTTTGTTACATAGAATCATGCAAAAGATGGGCAGTCTCGCTGCATTTTATTTTCTCAATTTCTTTATCTGAATTTTTGATAGAGTGCATAGAATTTATTGAAATGCTTGAGCTTATTGTGGCATATAACTATTCAGTAATATTCAAAGTTTTTATTAGCAATCATTGTACATCTTGGAATATTACATTTTAGCTGAGGATAACAGCAGGGAAAAGATATAGCACTACCAAATCTACAAATGTCTAGAGTAGGATTAGTCTCCATTTTAAAATAAATTTTTAAAAAATTGAACAACAACAACAAAAGGATTAGTCTCCATACCGCTTTTTTAAATGCTTAGTTGCATAGCATGGAATAAGCATCGCTAACTGTAAGAGGAGTTCACTTATACTTCTCCCGTGGTTTTTAAACATGCATCTTACAGGGATTTCTGTTTGTTTTTAAGGATATCTTGGAACTCCTAGAAAAAAGAGTGAAGTCACGATTTTCTCACCGACAGATACACTTAATGAACTCATTTGGTTTTCCACAGTATGTTAAAATTTTTAAAGAACAATTATCTCTACCTGCAGAATTTCCAGATAAACTTTTTGCTGAAAAGTGGAATCAGACCATTCAGGTAACTTGAAGGCTGTTTGACCACTTCCCTATTGCAAGATGTGCATCCCCTGTTCCTTTCTATCTGTCCATTTTCTTTGTGCTTTGCCTCACTCAAATGAGAGATACTGTATGATATTTAAGCTTGTGTGTCTGGTTTATTTCAGTCAACATTATATTTTCCAGTTGTGTCCATTTTCCCACAAATGTGTCCAGTTTGACATTTTTCTATAGCCTGGTAGTATTCCTTTACATAGAGATCCCACATTTTCTTTATCCAGTCATCTGTTGGTGGGTATGCAGGCTGCCTCCAGGATTGAGCTCCTACAGACTGGACTGCTGTAACATTACTGTACATGAGTGGCTATGGTATGATGACATAAACTCTTGGGGAAAGACACCTAGCAGCGAGATAACTGGGCGGTGTGGAATCTCTCATTTCAGTATGCGGACTCTCCATACTGATTTCCATAATGCTGTACTAGTTTGCATTCCTACCAGTAATGCTGGAGAGTTCCTTTTTGACAAAGCCTTGCCAGCATTTGTCATTGTTTTCCTGGTGATTGCCATTCTTTGTGGAGTGAGATGGAATCTTAGGCTTGTTTGAATTTGCATTTGTCTAATGGTGAGAGATGCCGAACATTTTTTCATGTATTTGTTGACCATTACTAGTTCTTCTGTTTAGTGTCTGTTCCTTTCTCTTGCCAATTTTTTGACTGGGTCTTTAATTTTAGTCTTTTCATTTTCTTTTCTTTTTTTTAAGTCTTCCTGTATTCTAGATATTAGTCCCCTGTCTGAGGAGTAGCTGGCAAAATTTTTTCATCCTGTAGGTTGTCTCTTCACTCTACTGATTCTTTTGCTATACAGAAACTTTTTGGTGTGATATAATCCTAGTTATTGATTCTTGTTGTCATTTCTTGTGTGACTGGTTTCTGTTTAGAAATCCTTTCCTACACCTATGTCTTCAAGGGTTTTACCTATTTTTATCTTCAAGTAAATTTAATGTTTCTACCTTAATGTTTAGATCTTTGATTTGTTTTGATTTTAACTTAGTATATAGTGAAAGAAAAGGGTGCAGTCTTCTGTAGGCAGATCCAAACACTGCTTGTTGAATAACTGTCTTTCCTCCAACGTACACTTCTGTCCCATTCTGTAGTTGAATATATCTGGGGAGGTTTCTGTGTCCTCAGTTCTGTTCCATTGACCCACATATCTCCTTTTGGTCCAGTGCCTTGCCATTTTTAGCACTATTGCTTTGTATTATAGCTTCAAGTCAGTTATTGCTATGCCTCTTACTGCCCAGGGTAAATACAGTCTTTCACAGTGTGCTCTCCAAGGCCTTTTAGTGTCTCTGTCCCTAAACAGTGTCCTTTCCGAAGTTACCTACGTAGCCGAGGCTGCTGTGTGCCATTATCCATCTTTGTGTCTCTCCTAGCTGTGTTACATTCTGAGTGTCTCAAAGTGAATGGAGTTGAACCTCCTTATCCACAGGTTTTGTGTCCTTGGGTTGAATGATGAAGGGTGTGAGCATGCTCATACTTTGACTGTCTCTGGGGTGTCTTGACCCAGTCTCCTCAGCTACCAAGAGAAGACTGAGTATGAAGAAGATAATGCCAGTTACTGGTGCTGCAGTACTTGGGTGACATAAAATGGTAAACCTCAGGGTCATTCAACCATAGTTTTCTAGTCCTTTTTTGCAGATTTTATAGTCCCCAAACTTAGAGGCACATGATAGGTATGAGTGTCTTTCTCAGATTCATAAAGTAGAACTAACACTGTTAAAGAAGATAATTAGGGTATTGTTGTTTCTTATACCAATCATCTTGTGCCTCCTCTCTTTGACATGGTGAGAAGTTTCCCTGGAAAAATCTGTCAGCACCATGGCCAGAGTCTGTGACTGGTGTGGGAGATGCGCGGGAGGCCGAATTAGGGGAGCTATCCTCTCTGTCAGTGCTGACTGCCCAGTAGATTCTTGAAATTGCAAGATTAGACTGAAAATACTGATAGAAACAAAGGGTCACCTGTGGGCTCTCTTCCAAGAAACATCTTGGGGATAGGGTTGAGCCTTCGCTTCCTACTTAATTTGAAAGTTTGTTTTGGCCTTACATCAGATGAATCCACTAAACAGGGTAGACTCCATCTCAGCATGGCAGAATAAGGGAAGTCCCTGAAAGGAGCATTTAAAAGAATTACATCTACTTTTCCTCAAAAGAAATGCCTCCAAGTACTGCAGTTAATTCAACTAGTTATTAATTACCTTATCTTCAGATGTTTATAACATTTGGGTCAATGGAATTAAAGTTAAAAATGTGAAATTAAGTGTTTTGCAGTTTACATACAAATAGAGGATGTAGATTTTCTTTAAAAGTAAAGTATGCAAATAAAGTGATAGCTTTCAAAAGCAGTTTGAATCAGACCACTAAAACTACAGAGGTTCATTTGGAAGGCAGAGTATAGATTAACCCTTTGAGGTATGATGTCAAAGAAAAGCCAAGTACGGTTTTTAAAAATAACTGAAATTTTGTGGAAAAAATTTTTCATCAGTTATTTTTGTCCCGGATGATTTTTTTGTTTTTTTAGTTTTCCTAAGTGTTCCAATTTTACAATATCAACTTTATAAATGACTTCCTAAAAGCCAGAGATTACAGAAGTCGGGACTGTAGTTTGCCTATTATAGTTACCTACTGAACTTACTAAGTTTCTTCTGTATTGAAATCTGAAGACTGTGGAAAAGTGTAAATCTTACTTATATTGCATTGTTTTACTATGCTGTGTTCATCTATACTTCCACAGATATTTGGCCCTCTTTATGATTTATAAAATATATAATAACAAGAAACCTTTTAAAATACTAGGAGTGGAGCCTGCTGTGGTGGTGCATGCCTGTAATCCCAGCATTCGGGAGGCTGAGGCAGGAGGATCGTTGTGAGTTGGAGACCAGCCTGGGCTACAAAGTGAGCTCAAGGCCAGCCTGAACTGCATAGTGAGACCCTGTCTCAAAAAGATGAAAAAGGAAAAAGAAAAAAAAAAATACAAAGAATGGAAACTTTAACTGGCATGATGGATTTCTTGAACACATGAAATTTCATTCCAGTACACTAGAATGTCTTCCTGAAAAAGGAGTCTTTCTGTGGGAGAAAGAAATGCTTACATAGTAAAGAAGAAAGAGTATGTCATGTAGATGATACTTTTAAAAAGTATTTCAATATTTCTTGTTCCTGTATGGCTCTGCCCTCTCTGAATTCACTCTCCTTTCGTCTCCCTTCTCTTCCATGCCGAGTGTGCCTCGGCTTCTATTAAATCCGTACTCAGTGGAGCCTCTTGGTTCATTTAGATACTGCTTTCCCAGCATCCTGTTGGTCTGCAGATTTCTAACACTGTTAGCCTTTTCTCAGACTAGATCTCAGTTTAGTTTTACACAGTGGGTTCCACCCTGGATCACCAGTTCCCTCTTGTCACTACTGTCTTGGATTATTTTCCAGTCTGTGTTATCTTCCTTACTTCTGTCTCTTTAAATACTGATAAATACTGCTGTTCCAAAGCCTACTCCTTGACACATTTCACTCTTCACAGAGCCCCTTCCTCCATAGTTCACCTTGATTCTGTCTTCTGTTCTCAGATTCCTCTTTCTCCTCGTCAGTTGGTTCTCCGTCACATTGTCTTCTTGCTGTTTGCTGTTCTCACTTTTCTTTACAGCACTGGTGAAGCCATGCCCTCCCCTTTGGGATGGATGCATGGATTTGCCTCCAACGAAGTTTTCTTCCCTTTGTCTCTGCGTGCCGCCCCTTTGTAAATCATTGCGACCTAGGGGCGGAGGCCCCTCTGCCGCGCCGCGCCCTTCATCGCTCTCACTTCGGGCTCTTCCCTCTGCGCTTCTCCCTGTCCAGACACCTTCTTAGCATACTTATTTTCAAGAACACTAGTGTGCGTTCACCGTTAGGTGTTGCACTGCACTTTGTTCCTCCTACTAGTGTAACTGGATAGTTTCCCCTTGGTAGCATTAGAAATTTTGGAGTAGCAAGAATTGTTTCATTCTTGTATTCAGGTTAACCTAAAGGGCGAAGGAAATCAGTAGACTGAAAATTCGGCTTTGATTTTACTGTTCTTTAGATCAATTAGTATCTATTTAATATGAATAAACATCAGATAGAGTTAATAAAGTGTACTGGCCACTTACGATAAACAATTATATTTAGGTTTTAAACTGTATTCCTTAATTTTTTTTTTCTTTAGGGTCTCTCAGAAGATAAAAGTGTACGAGAAATTCTCCTGAAGCATTTTAATGTCAGCAAAAACCTGAGGTCATTACACATGCTACTGGTTTGTACTTTTTAATTAATTTATTTTTAACTGATACATAAAAATTGTACATAGAAATGGGCATCTTGTGGTGTATTGATACAGGTATACATTGGCTAATGTTTAAATCATATCTGTGTCATGTATAATTTTTTGATGGAAACTTTCAAAACTATTGTAGCTTTGTGAAAGGTAAAGTATATTGTATGTAGTCATGCTTCAGTGGAATAGCACACCAAAGTGGATTGCTGCTGTGTAACTGTATCTTGGTACCTGCTGATGGTTCCAACATGTTGTGTCATTAATATTTCTTGTTTTTTGTTTTTGTTTTTTTGGTTTTTTTTGGTTTTTCTCCGGTACTGGAAACCGAACTCACGACCTTGCGCTTGCCAGGCAGGCGCTTTGCCGCTGAGCTAAATCCCCAGCCCCGTCATTAATATTTCTGTGTTGATCTCATATTTTGCGATATTGGTGAATTTATTCATTTCATTAATAGAGTCTTCAGATTTTTAATGCAGTCATATTAGATTTTTTTTTTCCTTTTCCAGTCTGTGAGCCTTTTCTTTCCTGCCTTTCCCTAGTTACTGAACGTGCCACCACCACGTTAAATACAGTTGTGTGCTTCGACCTCCTTTGTTCCCAGTCTTAAAAGGAAGGCGTTCAGTTTTTACTTCACGTGTGTTGTTAACGCTAAGGTTCTTTTTTTAACAAGCTCATTATTAAGTTCAGGTTACTGCTGAAGAGTATTAGGAATTGGTCTTAGATTTTGTCAAATGCTGAGCCAACTGATCATACAGTTTTTCTTTAGATATTAATATGTTGGAGTGCATTGGGGTTTTTGTTTTGTTCTGTTTTGTGTATGCCTTGCAGACATAGACTAACTCTCATCTGGCCATGAGTGCAGTTACTTAGCTGTTCTGAAAATTAAGGAGCCCCTTCAGAGGCGTTATTTGGCCTTAGCCCGGTATTTCTAGACAATTTTCTCAAGCAAATACTTTTCAAAGAGGAAACAGTTTCAGTTCCGTGAGTTTTGTGGTCAGTTTCAAAACGATAGCAAGCACCGTTTACTGACTGGCACATCCACCAGGCAGCGCTGTTCTGACCCTGCGGTATGTCTGAACTGCGTGGTGACCCTGTTTTTCTCAAGTGTTTTATCCTTGTGCTTTAAAGAAGCTGAGTCTCCCAGAGGCTACAAGACTTGGGCACAGCTAGTTGATGGCAGAGCCAGAGCGCAGCCAAAGGCGGTCTGGCTGCAGCCGGCTTTTGTCCTACTGTACTGTATGGTTGTGCCACATTTATTCACCAGTACTCCTTTTAAACGTGTCGTTACTTTGGTCCCCTCCTGCCCATCAAAAATACACTGCCATTCTTAGCAGCATGCTAATACGCAGCAGTCTGTGGCCTCAATTTTCAGCATATATATATATTAGAATTGACACTTTAACATGGACAGATTCTCAGGTGTCCAGTGGAAAGTGAGCTGTGAGAGCACAGTGCAGTATTTGCACAAAACTTGGATATGGCTTTGTCGTGTCCCAGGAACACCTGCATATGCAGTAGAGTGGAAGAAGTATAAAGATAGATGTGGTCGTTCCGTGCGGTGTCAGCTAGCACCCAGTCAGCAGAGGAGACCAGCTTTAACCCGATAAAACTACAGTTCTTAATGTGGTAAAGTGGGCATGGATACCTGATTCTCTTTTGCCTTTTTGTACATGAAGAAATACTTCATAATGAAAGGGAGGGAGTGACTGCTGTCTAGATCCCACCCAGTAGGAGGCTGAGCTGCAAGGGCTGCCGTGCAGTCTCTTCTGGACTAAAGCAGTTTCGCCTTGACAAGGTGGAGGCGAGTTTCTAGTATAACATGGCACTTCCCTATACTAAGTAATAAATTCTTATTTTTTGAAATTCAAATTTAGCCTGGTATTGTGCACTGTCTGCTAAAGCTTAAATAACTAAAGGTAATTTGTAATGAAAAATACAGTAAACAAAGGAAAAACTTGATATTTGAGTGGGAACCTTAGTCCGGGAACTTTGTTAGTTTTGGGAAAACTAAATGAAAAGTACATGAGAGATCATCTTGGCTTTCAAGGAGTTATTTCTACAGATACAAATTTGATTTTTGGTTTTCTTTTCTTTCTTTATGTACAAACATAAACTAATTCTGCCTTCTCCTACTTTTGCTGGTTGATTGGTCCAAAAGTTAATACAAGGCACAGATTGGCTTTTTTGGTTTTATCTGGAGTTTTGAATAATGCTCTTATTGTTAGTTCTCCTCGTCCTACCCTTGAAATACTCTTTTTGAAGAAAAAATAAATGTGATGCAGGCGGGAAGTGGTAGAGAAAGCAACAAAACCTTTTCTGATTTACATTTGTGAAATTATGTGACATACAAATTGAAACTGTAATTGAAAGAGCTAAATTTTAGGATATCTTTACCAAGCATTTCTCTCCCATAATAATAGACTCTACAAATTAAGAAACTTTGCTCAGTAGTCATGTCCAAAATGCCCACGTAAGTAAGTGTTTTTCTGGTCTACATCTCCATAGATGCTCGCTTTAAATCGAGTGACTGCATCACACCCCTTGGTCACTGCCGCGGATCTGACGGAGGCAGCCCAGCTTTGCAGCATGGATTCTAAAGCAAACGTTGTGCACGGTGAGAATCTGCTTGATGAGTCATTATCCCTTTTGATAATCTAATGAGCATTTTCTCCCTGAGGAAAATATTGCACTCCAAATTTTGGATATAATTTCCTGAAGATTTTTGACTCTGAATAAAGGACCTACCTGTGTGATTGGAAATAAAATAATCATAGCTTCTGCTGTTGTTTGCAGTGAGCGCCTGATAATCCCTGTAGCATACCCGAAGCTTAGAAAGGCCCTTATTTTGCAGATACTGAAAAGTAAACTTAGAGGTTGAATTTTACTTTTCTGTAGATATTGGCGTTTACGACACATTTGAGTCTGTAGGAATCTCAACCTCCGTCCTTCAAAACCATAACCTTGTCGTTCCTCCTCGAGGGACAGTTATTTCTTACAGTTATCTCACACTAGTCAGTCTTGGGGTCCCTAAAGTACACTTCATAGCGTGTTTTCTTTTACTGCAGGACTGTCAGTCTTGGAAATTTGCCTCATAATAGCCATGAAACATTTAAATGACATCTACGAAGAGGAGCCCTTTAACTTTCAGATGGTGTATAACGGTGAGACTTCGGTGGGGCTCCTTTCTGACTCTTCTCTCTTGCTTACTTGAGGGTCTTACTGTCACTGCTCTCTCTCCAGAGTTTCAGAAGTTTGTTCAAAGGAAAGCGCATTCTGTGTATGCCTTTGAGAAGCCTGTGGTCCTGAAGGTAAGGTCTGCCACACCATGATTTTTTGAAGACAAGTACATTTTTTAGCTCCAACTTCATTATATAAACCAAGGTTTAACTTTAATTAAGTTTTAAACTTTAACTGTTTATGTTTGGAATTTTTTCCAGACCAAAAATATCCAAAAATAAAATGTTCCATTAGTTCTGAAGAAAGCAGCAAGTTTTTGTGGTTTCTGGGGGTTACAGTGCCCTCTGCTGTCTGTGCTTAGCACTTGCACCCTGCGAAGCGCTCCTGCTGTATTCATTGCAGCCTAATACTGCAAGGGACATAACCACCTTGCCTCTTTCCGACCCAGGAATTGGGTTTATGATCTCCGCGGTAAGTGGGGAAAAAATACAAACTAGTCATCAGATTAAAACAGGCGGACTCCCATTGGCTAATGAGGCCACAGAGAGAAAGTTGTATTGGGCAGGTAGGTAAGGTATCAGTTTCAAACTTGAGGACTGTTTCAGGACACCATTGTCCATGCAAAGGGTAACGTGAACCACAGTATGTACTCGGAGATGTCCCAGCAGCTATGCAAACTTTTAAAAGCATTAACTTTACTGTTCACCAAAATTTTTTTTAAAATTTATAAATCAAACTATGATTATTTTGCATTCTCTTCTCAATCCTTCAAAGTTGGTATGCATTTACAATAGTTATACACACCCCTTTACTAAGTATTTATTGGAAATACTTGTTTTGATTCATTAAATTTATAGCTGAAAAAATAGGTTTATACATTTTAGTTGTTCTAAACATACCATTTTTACATATGGACCAAATACCATGTTCTTAAGTTTCCATAAAATTACAAGCCGAGCCTCACCTCCCGTGCGCTTGGTTGCTCGGCGTGAGCAGTGAAACTGAAGGCGCTTACAAGGCAGACACATGAAGCAGCGGGCCCGAGGCCTGTGGCACCCGATATAAGCCCTCGGAGTCACTTTCATTTCTTACAGCAATTTGAAAATGAGCACAGCGCACTGCCACTTGTTCAAAGAGACAGTGAAGGTGCTTGGCCTAGGGGAGCTTAGGTTCTCCCTCGCAGCTCCGTGTCTGTCCGGTAACCATGGTTTGCGGGACTTACGGAAGTAAAAAGATGACCTCAGCATTAAATTCTTACAGTTTGCAGCTGATCTTGTCTCCATTTTAAATAAGGACGTATTTTACTGTCTGGAAATACTTTAAATCTCAGTTTTGTCCAGTCCCACTATTTTCTCATTTTCAAAAATAGTTTCAGAATTTTTACAGTACATAGAGAATATATTCCAGTGGTATTTTACAGTGAGTTCCAAGAATAGACTGCTCAGGACTGTATTCAGTGTGTCACTACTTAGTGGTTAATGTGAACAAAATTCTGTGGGTTTTTTTCATTCCCTAATCATATACTTTCAGCAATCAAAAATGAGAAAAGACCAGAACACGTGGCTGTGGGGGTCAGAGAAAGCAGTCAAGCAGGGAGCTTGCTGACGGGAGTGACAGTCTCGGTCCGTCTTTAAAGTAGGAGCCTGGTGCGTAGGCCTGCTGTGCTCCGGGGTTTTCCTGCCACTTGGTTACTGCTGTGTTAGACTTCTACACAGCAAACTCTTACAGAGGTAGAAACAGATTGCCAGAGTAATTAGAAAGTCTTACAGGCGTCTTGGGTTTGCATAGAGACACTGGACACCTGGTCACTGTGGGTGGAAAGGCTGCGGTAGTTAGCTCAGCGTTAGAACAGGTGCTGGGCCCTGGAACCCTTCTCCAGGGGGCTCCCCTCGAGCACCCGTGCACACGCAGGAGGAACGAGAACGTGAGGTTGGAAGCAAAACCACATCATGAAGGCCGAATTAAAACTCCCCTTGTTTACACTCAACAGTACAGGATCAGGGATCGTGAATTTATATTCTCTTACCTGATGACTAACACGGCTTTACGTGGTCGATGAGAGTTGTCTCACACTGTTGATTTGGGTTCCTTTTGTTTTGCTGGCAGTCTTTTCCACAGACCACCAAAACTTTTAAGTATTCTCTAGATTTGGTCACTTTGTTCTCCTATTCACTCTATTTTTTAATCTTTCAGGCTTTTGAACACCTACAACAGTTAGAATTAATAAAGCCCGTGGAAAGAACTTCAGTAAATTCACAGAGGGAGTACCAGCTGATGAGACTGCTCTTGGATAACACGCAGATCATGAATGCGCTGCAGAAGTACCCCAACTGCCCCACGGACGTTAGACAGTGGGCGACGTCCTCGCTGAGCTGGCTGTGAGCCCGCTTCACCGGTTTCAGACGTCGTTCACCGACAGCCTGCAAGCTGTTGTCCTCTGCAAGACGTCACTGTATTATTCTGTGTCTGTGAACATTTACTGCACGAGACGCTGCGGCACGTGTGTCTTGGCCGTGTCTCACCTGTGACTCACAGCAGCTGCGCGATTTATCATTCCAGTCCACTGTGCTGCAGGTAGCAGTTCAGAAGAATAAAATGCGAGTATTTTAGAGATTGAGCCATTTTTAAAATACTTGTATATGTGTGGTGCATTTGAAGGGTTCGTTTCAGCCAAGCGGCCACTTACGTTTTCAGACCCTACCGTAGGCAGTACGCAAACAGCAGTGCCCTCTGGTTCTCATGCGGGTGCTTCGGTTTTGCTTTCCTTCGCGCATGCACGTTTTTGTGGCTTGGGAGACTGATCAGCTTAGACAGAGCGTGGGTCCTGTGAGAGAGGCAGGCCAGGGAGCGTGAGCATCCCTACCCTTCTCAGGTGGTGCTTACACCCTCTGTACCAGAATGAATCCCTCGTGGGAGTTTTAAAAAGTGTAGATTCTTGAGCCTTCTCTAGTCCAAACAGAATTTGCCTTAACGTGTACTTTCAGAAATTCCTACAAAGCCACTCCCACAAACAGTGAGTGTTTGGCAGTGTCTGCTGAATATCTGTATAAAAAAGTCCGTCCTTAAGAATATAGAAATGTCAGTCAAAGCATCACCTTAAAAATTAAAGGATTTACAAACCCAACTATATGTTCAAAATGAAATCTAACCTTCACTCAGTGACCTCAGTTAATTCAAGAGTACCTGACCTCATATTGTATCAGAGGACGTTCACAAAAGACAGAGGCCTTGTCTTTTTGTAATAAATAACCCACTTGTTCAGAAGCCCTCTGTGCTTATGTAGCATTACTTACAGATTAGAGAACTAACACCATCGTGCCAGTGTCCAGAATCACAGTTAGAATGAATGGCCCTGGAATGCAGCTCAGCTTTGGATTTTTTGCTTTTGCAGTGCTGAGGATTGAACCTAGGGTGTTGTACATACGAGGCAAGTGCTGTACCACTAAGCTACCTCCCCAGCCCTCAGCTTAGCTGTAACTGACACCAAGCCCGTGCTATTAAGAACTAAAGTGCAAGGTGTTCCTTGCCAAGTATTTTTAAAAATGTACTCTAAAGAATTTATCTGGCCTTTAAGCAGTTTTGGAAATACAGTGGTGTATGATTTGTGTGCACGAAGCGGCTCTTCAGTAGGACCAGCCTATTATTTTGCATACCTAGCCTTTCCTTCACCACAAAAACCTTAAGCCTTGTTACAAGTCTCCAGATCACTGTTGTTTGTACAGACTAGCAGTGTCTCGTTAAGGCTCAGGCTTATATCCTAGTTTTCTATCCTAGTCCACACATTCCTACAGGCTGTTTTGTCAAAATGGCTAACCTGATTTAGAAGGCACAAGTCATTTCATTAGGTTCTTACTCTTTAAAGTGGATCGTACTTTCCTAACATAATTCAGAAATTGTTTTTAAATGGAAAGTTATAGCTGTAATGTTAAAATCCTTCCTCCTCCTAGTTAGTAATGCGATGCTACCATGTTACGATGCCACTTAAAAGCTGAGCGTCCTAATGCACTTCTTTGACTACATAAGAAGTACAGGGGCTGGGGGTTTAGCTCAGCGGCAAAAGCGCTTGCCTGGCAAGCGCAAGGTCGTGAGTTCGGTTCCTGGTACCGGAGAAAAACCAAAAAAAAAAAAAAAAAGAGTGAGAAGTACAGAAGATCCATCAAGTAGGTTTAAATATTTAAAAGCTAAGAGGAAAGGTGGGTTTACCTTTTCAGGGATTGTAATAGGAAAGCTATAAAACAAATTAGGACAATAGGTTAACAAAAATGATACAGTGAAGTGTATGCCTACATCTAAAGGCATTTTTGTGTGCAGTAAAGTGAGAATTAGCTCCTAACAGAAGCTAAAATGTATTCACAAAATTTCTTAACTTCATCACATAAATTACATAAACTATATTAGTAAAATAAAAACCCAACCTGAAAAGCCCTGGTAAATTGTGAGAAATAATTAAATTTATATGCATGGCTTAAAGGTTCTTTATTGCTACGCAATAAAATACGGCAAAAACAAAAACAAGCTCCCGTGGGTTATCAGGCTGATAAGGAAATACAGTCAGGAGTGCTGTTTCCGTGTAGTTTTTACTTGAGCTCCCTCCCAAGTGGCCCACGAAACACTGGGATCTTGTTAAAAAGACCTGTCCAGTTGACGTGTGTGCCTGTGGCTGAGAAATTAAAATCTTCGTTGTCGAATCTGAAGCTTATTGTGTCATAACTCTATGTAGAATCAAGATTGCACAGAACGTGCTGCACAAAAGCAGTCTTTTCAGTACAGATTGCATGGGCGTTCTACCAAGTTTGCTTTTTCATCTGGTTTAGAAGGGTACACATTCTTTGAAACCACCATAAATAAGCCAAGTGCTACCTTTCCATCCCCACTGCCCCACTCCTGAAAATACAGAATCCACCGGCGTGAAATGTGACCCAGCGCCAAGAAGCCTCCGGCTTCCCGATACTGGCGGAACCAACATATACCTGGGCAGCGACACATCCTGCTTAGACAACGGAGCGCGGAGGCGTCCTAAGGAACAAAGCTCCCTTCTTTTGCCACTGTCCCCATCCTTGTAGATCTCAAGATGGGAGCCTCACAGGTTACAAAGCTACCACTCCCCTCTAAGAAGAACATGTACCTAAAAAAAACTGCATATGCAAATCATACCATATTCATTTTTTATTTAACTTGGGGATGGAATGGGGATAGCATACATTGTATTTATACAGTATTTAACAATCACTTATCCAAGGTGGGGTCTCATGGGTTTTTTTGTTTTTTTTTTTTGTTTTTTTTTTTTAGCTTTCTGTTAAATACTTGCAGAAAAAAAATAGCAAGTACGATTTGACAGTAGTACAACAATCTATGCCCAAAACACTGACAGGAAATACAGAGTAAAGCTAAAATAACTGCTTACCAATATCTTGAGAGGTAACAAATAGGATATGGGTTGAGACTGCATAAAAAATGTACTGCTGGTTGAATATCTGAGGTAAATGATGTTCAATCAAGATGCTACTTGTATCATTTTGCCCATAAATTGTAAATAATTTTATGCACATTATACCAAATGTTCCTAAAAAGTAATTTTTCAAAAAAGTAAAAAAGAGAAACTGGAAAATACCTGTGATGAAGCATTTTTTAAAAAAATAGTAATCAGTTTATTCCACTAAACTGCCATCTGGCCAGTGGTTTTCCCGACCACTTGCATTTTAGGTAAATGTAACTTACTCAGGAGTGAGCAGGGGGTGGAAGAGACTTTTCAGAATTTTGTGATAAGATTATTTTTAAATCCCAAAGAAGTCGGGTTTTCTCCTGATTGTATTTTCAAAATATCACATAAAAGATAGTACAAGTTCATGGGACCAACCACTGTGAGGCACAGTCTCTTCTGGAATTCACAAGGTACCTGTAATAAACATTCAAACAAGAATCACACATCACATGCTAAAAACTTCCTAGCATCTAAATACGTAGAAGATCTGTGCAGGGCATGGACTTTGAATAAAGCCGAACTAGTTAATCCATCAGTCCTGTGGCAGTTGATCGTAAAGCATCTCGTAACATGGGAGATCTGGGCAAGGTAGAAAATGTAAGAGCAGCAGTTCTGATGGGTATCAGCAAGGCGAAGTACAAGACAGGTCATGAGGAGCACCATACACATGAGGAAAAGTTGCCCGGGTCTGTTTCCCCGAAACAAAGAAATCACCGTTCTGCTCAGTCTTTGATCTTTTCTCCAGTAGCCCTAGCTCAGACTTCGAGTTAACCTGCCCACTCTGCACTGACTGTAAACCAAATACTAAGATGCCCTGCAAAAGAAAGTTTTAACAAGACTAGGTATCAGAACAGGTAGTCACTGGAACATTATTTTACTGCTTAGAAAAGACTTCTCTATTAATGAAGTTCTCAAAAGGATACAAGTTTTTAAATTGGTTAGCCAGAGTTAAGTACAATACCCAGGATTTCTAAAAATGTTTCTTAATATGAAGACAAAACATTTTATACCGTGAATAACTGGTCTTAGAAAACTTTTCTCTAGTGCTCTCAGCCAAACGTTCACCATAACGTCCCTCATTTATTTTTGTTTCAATTTTTAAGAGGGTTAAGTGTTTATTACAGGTAGAAATCTGTCTGCAGGAGATTAACAATCTTCCTGTACACACATTCTCTATTTTGCCCTGGATTAGTTTCCAAAGGGAAGCAACACTCAATCAAGAAATAGAGGAACTGAGTACTTCTTGAAATAAAAGTGCGAAACACTGAAATGGAAATTCTCAGGACTACAACAAGACCTTGGGTACATACACGACCAAGAGCACAAACGCTTCTGTGTGGTATGCGGCACGCAGACAAGAATGCTATTTCTTCTCATTTACCTCCCTGCTTGGAGTCTGTTGACCTATGTATTGTTTATAAATAACAATTCTTCCCAGAGACGAAGTACATATTATATGTACAGTGTAGTGTACTGTGGGGTTAAATCACCATTTGAATACAACACGTTCGCAGTGAGCGCTTGATAGTGACATAAATTACGAAATTAACGCATGGATTTTCAAATGACCTGACAAGAAAGTATAAAGTATAATACTAGCTATTGACTGGTGAGTAATGTAAAAATCCAGGAAGTTAACGTCTTACTGTACTTTGGCCTGCATAAATTTGAGGAAGAATCCAGTTATATTCTCATGCAATACTGTTTTAAAAAGCACTTTGGCAGCCACCGTCAATTCCATTTTCTTAGCAGGGATAAGGCATGAACTGTCCTAAATGAATATCGAAGTCGCTTGTGAAAGCAATTTGGGGAAGAAACCAGGCTGTGTTTCCTGTATCGACATTGCATATTTGAAACTGTCACTTTAACTTGTTACCCTGACTTGTCTGAAAGCAGTAACATCTGAATCTGTGCTTAAAGGTTAAGTCACTATGCTACGATAATTCTTTACAAAGCCCAGGCATCAAATACTACTCTCACAAGATGGCACCAGGCGAAGTAGAGTGATAAAAGTTACAAATCTCAACACAGGCAGTGAGGAATTCTGGGTGAACACTTCCTGAGGTGACCCTAAAACAGTGATAAAGAATGTCCCGCACACTGTTCGGTGAAAAGAAATACACTAAAATTTTACATATATAAATAGGAAAAAAGTATTTAAAAAGATAAAATGAAGAGCTTTCCAGTGTCACAGCTCACTTAAAAAACTGAAATCATGCTTTAAGTTTTTAAATATTCCCCAAACACAGCACGTCTAAAAAGAAGTAAGTATGCAATATTTTGAGATCTGCATATAAGATGAAGCTTTAAAAACACGTAGATACGGGGGAAACTACACCGTATGCTTTTGCATTTCACAAAAGCACGTCTCCTTGAACCACAGCCGGCACAAGGAGAGCCGGACACTGCCGCGCGAACGGCCACTGACTGGGCACTGAGCGCAGCTCGCCCTTTCTCTTAAATAACACAGTGGATGTGTAATACCTTGTTACAAAACACGGATCGATTTATTCAAATTCATTAGTGTTTTCAGTTTCGTAATTTAGCAAGCGTGGAACTGAGGTATACCTTGTTGGGAGGGAGGTGAAAGTAACGCTTGGAAGCCTCTTCACTGCACCCCACTTCGATGACTTCGTTTATGGACACAGAACAGCAGCACACTAAACATTCACAAGCTGTGTCATATTGGCATTACAATAGTAATTTATAGAAACAACAACAGCAAATGCAATAAAAACAAGTTACCCTTTTAAAATCTGAAATGAAAAGTTTTTGATTTAAAAAAAAATAGCAGTAGTTCATTTAAGGAATTAGTGTCTTCTGACAGACATTAAGAAATCTGATGTCAGCTCTCACACTCGATTAGCCAGGTCCAAAAGATCCTCGATTTGGAAAGGGCCACATTCTTCATGTACACAGTTTTCCAAAGTTTCTCTACAGAGTCTGCAAGGTTCCTGTCGGTCTCGCGTCCTTCACGTGTGCGCCGCAGGCAATGCAGGAGGTCTCCCGGCGCCACACTCCCACCAAGGGGCTGCTTCCTGCGGTTCCCAGGAGGCGTCCCACCCATCTCACAGCGAAGGTACACTACGCAGTTTCGTTAGCTCAGCAGCTCCAGTTCAGAGTCCCATCTCAGTGTGTGCAGATGGTGCAACCATCATAGACTAGATTCTTTGGGAGGAAAGTCAACATTGGTCACCATCGTGACCACTGTTACAATGTCCTCTGTGGTAATGATATTTGTGAGTCTTTGCATCTGCGTAATTCTTTCACCTACACATCCAGCTGATAACCTGGCTTCTGCATCGTGATCCCAACATTCTTCTATCGTTTCACAAAGCATTGCCATTCCCTAAGAGGAGAAAAACGTAGTCAAACACCTCAGCACGTTTTGTGGTCAAAGAAGTTTCAAGATTAGCCAACTTCCACGTTATCTGTCAACATTCACTCGAGGATCAGGAGTGCAGGACTCAAGAAAAGTGCAAAGGGCACTTTTTACGCAGTGGAGACTTGCAACAGAAGTTTTTAATTCCGAAAATGCCTGTGCGTTCCTCCACAATCATTTCAATGTAAAGCTTGGCCTGGACTCAAAGCCAGCGCTAACGGTAAGGATACCACTGCTTTTCAGTTTTACTTAGTATCACCATTTCTACCTAACAGCTAACTACAGGACTGCAGGGCCATCCTTTAGGATTCTCTACCTGATTTGATCATGTTTCTGGTTGTACTTAGACCAAAAGTACCAGGACAATACGCTATCCTCTACCTACCTCTAATTTTAAAAATTCGTAACTTCGTAGTCTTCTAAACCAAAATCACAAGGCTAAAGCAAATTCCTCTGGAGAGGAGAAAACCTGGTGCTTAGTTTAAAAATGGCATCGTGCTGGAAGGAGGTGATCCGCAAGGCTGCCAGGCTATGCAGAGGCTCGGCACCAGGCGTCTCTCCGCAGAAAGCTTTCCAAGCCAGACACCCATGTGCACAGCACCCTCGAGGGAGGAGCCCTGACTCCACACTCTCCCGGGTGGGTATACAAAGCCCCAGTTCTCCGGCCTCCAGCAGAGGACAGAGTAACCTGCACGACGATCGCCTGCCCAGGAGTGGGCACAGAATGACTCATTCCTCTAAAACACGTGAGACTGGAGCTTGAAACACAAAGCTCACAGCATAACTTACAGCATGCTTCTGCCAATAATCTCTTAAAACGGGCCGCTTTTTTTTATGCACAACAACTTCCTGCATGTCTTCAAGAGATGGGTGCTGGCCAATTTCCTCTTCAAATGGCAACATGTACTCATCTACAGGTCCTGAGATGGAAAAATGGAACAAAGTCATTTTAATTAAAACCGTCCTGACTTCCCAACTGTATAAACTTTCTAGAATATACCATTTTGCCTTTTTCCAACTCTATATGCTATAAGGACACAAAAGAAACAGACTCAGTTACACTTTATACCGAAGGAGATGAGACCCTATCAGAAATCAAGGGTTTATGACTTGGCACGTAACGCGGTTCGGACTGCTTGGGAGCTTTCTTAGCTACTTTAGGAGCCCTGCTTGTATCCATGTGGATATGGGACAGAGGGACCGTCGGTGCGTAAAAATCCAGAGGATAAGATTCTTTAACTGACACTGCCGTGCAGCTCCGGTGACGATGTTAACAGTGCTGTTTCTACCGTAGGGACTGGGTTCAGTCTGCTCCAACCGCTCCATGTCCTGCACAGGGAACTCACGTACCTCCGAGTCATACCTCTCCTTGCCCTCTCCCAGGAACCACGCAAAGTACATTTGCTTACTTTCAAAACTCACTAACATACTCTTCCCCAGGGTTTTCAACAAGTCAGAATGTCCTTTAGAGGTAAAATTATTCAACAATAGAAATACTTCCTTTGTTCTGAATATTAATCAAGTAGGGGAATGCATGTAGGAGTCAATAACTAGTATTCGATAAGCATTTATCTTGACTAGGAACTTTACAGGTATTACTCTACAAAGAGAAGACAGCATGAAGCTCAGAAAGCTGGAATTTTGCACAAGAGCACATAGCTGTTGCCTTGTACACTTGGAAGTTCTGAATCCATCAAATCTATGCTTTCGCCCTAACAAAAACGGGTCACCAGTGAGCAAGTGCACTGATCAGATGTGTCGTGTACATAGACCTAAGACATGGAAGGCCTTGAAACGCACCGAATGCACCTGGATGGCGGTTCGGAAGGTGTAACGAACTCTGCGCAAACCGAAGGGTCTGGATGGCGGATCAGCCTCTGCTGGGCAGGACTGCCGCTCAGGGTGCCCAGTGTACGCTCTGTGCTGGCACCAACTAGTAGCTTATAAAAAAACAACTGTGGACTCTCAAGTTTCAGCCCCAACTACTGAGTCCAAATCTTGATATTAACAAAATTCCCAAAGGTTCGGTATGCATGTTGGTGTGAAAGTGACTGCACTTAACTATCAGTAACTAGCCACCCAACAAATTTAAAAGCACCCGTCCACCTGTCCACCCTGTCCCTCTGGCCTCCAATTTCTGACTTACAAGAAAAGCCTGTTTCATAGCACATACAAAGCGTTCAAGACAAATCACCTATCCTTTTCTTTTTCCATAAAAACTTCCCTAAGCATCCCTCCACCTCAAAAGCAGTTTTTTCTCTAAACTCCCACAACACTCACGTCTCAGGTACTGCACTCACCCAAAAGCATGCAATGAATGTCTACATACCAGGCACTGCACTGGTTCACACCTCATCCTACAGTTACCTGTCCACAATATACTGTATCGCCTTAACTGTTTATCACATGAGGACAGAGCCTTGTCTCCCCTGTGGAACCTAATCCAATGCTGTCTATATTAAAGTTCTTCTGAAATGTATCTCCCTGTACCATCTGCCACCTGACCTGCTTCTTCCAAAAATGCACATAATCAACGCAATATATCTTCCATTTTCAAGTCAAAAGACTCTGACCAGTACTCATCTTCCTATCGATTGAGCAGCTACAATTATCCCCAAATTGCTATAAGCTTTCTTAGGTTCTCAATCCACTTTGAAGCAAAACCTCCAATCCTGGAAGAATAAATGGCTGCCCATTTCTGAACATTCTGTTAAGTTCCCTTTAACATAAGTTAGCTCTACCTGTTAATATAGCCAACATAATCCCTTCTACGCTCTGACAATCAGAGAAAGTTTTTAGGTAAACAAATTGGAATTAAAAAAAGAAAAACTAGATCAAGCTCTTTTACATTTGACAGAGCAGCAGTTAGGCAGTCTGCCTTATCCGAAAAGTGACATAACACAGTTGGAGACGGCAACCGTACGAAGGATTACTCAAGACAAAGTACCTGTAATGCTACAGATTCATCACACCAGGAAGGCAGTACGCAGGTTTATAATCAGTAAGTAAATGGCATACACTTATATGACAAAAACCTGGACAAACAGGAACCCTTTAGACAAGGTAAGGTGCTAGAGAAAGTGACTAGTATTCACAGGAACACCTATGAAGATCAGACCCTCCTAGCTTTGGAGAGGCAGTATTTAACCTGTGACACCTGAAATGCGCATCTGGAGTTCTGCGTCTAGTCTGGCTACCTCCGTGTATGCTGGCAGGACCCGGATGCTCAACACACTCAGCCTGACTGTCTCGGAGTGCGAAGTCCTCCTCTTCTTCACCTCCTCTTACCGAAAGGGCTGACCTGGGCACCTGGAGGGCAAGATGTACCCAAGCGTGGCCTCTCTCCTTTCCCACCTCTCCACTCCCCTGCCTCTTCTGGATTCTCTACCACCTCTAGAAGTGTATTAAAAAGAAACTGTACTTTGTTACCTCTCCATGTAATCTCTCTTAATAAATGTGGCATAGATAGTTTTTAAGAATTTCTTTTTCCTTACCATCTGCAGCAGTGCAGCGCGAAGCCAGTTCCCACAGGACTAATCCCATAGCATACATATCTATCCTCAAAAACGCATCCCTCTGGAAGTTTATAGCACCCTCTAATACCTCTGGGGCCATATATCTCCGAGTACCAACCTGAAAAAAATTTTCGAAAGTAAAAAGTACTCATTAACTTCATGAACATTTTATGATTTTATAGAGTCAAAGCCAAATAGGGTCTGTTATCAGGGTAAAATGACTGAACTATCACCATCAGACTCTAAGGTACGGCCACTAAGATGATTTCTGGCACACTTAAATAGAACGACATCATGCTAGCAGAGGCTTAGAATTCCCTCCCACCCTAAAGTAACCCTAAGGACAGAGCAGTGACTGCGGGGAGGAGAGTAAACAGCACACTTTTCAGCTGTACCTTTGCACGCCGTTTGAAATTTATCCTTGAAAAAATTTTTTCGAGGGCTTCACTAAGTATAAGATGTGGTACAGGACCTAGCCAAGTAAAGGATGGGTAAATACGAAGTTCTACTTCACAGCATCATCTGCGTATCTATTTACTCAAGCATTCTCGCCTTAGAGCCCTTCCTCTGTCTAAACTTGGCAGTTCTTAGCACTGTGGCTACAGTAACTAAGTTAGAGCACCTAGCTTTGGTTGGTACTGAACAACATTCTCATACGAATGTTTCACGCAATATTTTGTGATCTATCTGGATGGACCACATGTGTCTGTGTGAGTCCCAGCAGACCTGCGGAGCAGCTGTGACCCGGGTTATTCCCTGAAAGCACCCTGCTTCTGTGACTATGAACTCTATACCTGAACTGAGGAAATTATATGCCCCACCAAAGGCAGAAAAAATACGTATGTCATGTCTTTTTAAAAAGAAGACAGATTACTATAACTCTGAAGTTTAAGTTTATAATTTACGTAATACTTTATCGAGAAAAAAAGTAGTTCTACTCTGAATTTTCATTTTACCGTGTGTGTCTCCTAAAAGACTATTTCTCTCTTAAATGTATGCTATCCAAAGACCTCTTTTATGTGGCTCATCTACTTTTATAATCTGAAACGGCCTCTTTTATAAACCGATGATAGTACATACGAGAGGTTTTGTGTTTCCCAGGGTTCTTTCCTTCAGTGTAGAAAATACACAAGAACGTGCAAGTTCCTCCAGGTTTGGAATTTTCTGGCCCATGCTAGCTAAAGCCAAGGAGCCACTTACGTTTAGCTAGTCATGTCACTTAACTGTGCGAGTGTGAAAAGATGACACGAATGAGCGCCAATATTCTTTCTCAAAAAAAAGAAGAGGCTGATGAGAAACGAAACTGTTCCCAAACACAAGAGGTAGCCAGGTGTGGTGGCGCTCACCTGTAATCCCAGCACGGGGGAGGCTGAGGCAGGAGGATCGTTGCGAGTTCGAGGCCAGCCTGGGCTACAAAGTGAGCTCAAGGCCAGCCTGAACTGCAGAGTGAGACCCTGTCTAAAAACGACAAAGAGAAAAAAACACACAAGAAGTGCAGAACTTTGCGCCTCAGCTTTCTGCCCCATCTCCATCTCCACAGTACCCTCAGCGGACTGCCTCCATTTGTAACCAGCTGTAGTGTCAACTCTTCTAGAGCTCTGTGACTGCTGACCGCTACCCGCCACTAAACTCTGAAATCGTGAGTCAGTGCCGAATTCATTCTGGCATGATTATTTACAACTTGGGCATCAAAGGGATACGCTGGAAAAAAGCAAGCTCGGAGTTACGTGATCAAGTTGCACGGTTTTAAAGTGGAAGAAAAGCCAGTAAATCATCTTGTTTTGTAGGAGAAGGGACCTTTTGGGTCAAACTGATTTTATTGATTAAAAGGTTTTATTTCAGGAAGGAAAACAGCTTTCCCAGCCTCACAGTTTCTGAGAATGAAATGAAAGGACAATTTTTTTTCCTCTGGCCTTCCCAAGGCCCACGGATAAAATCTGTGTGGACTTTAACTACAGTTACACACCTCGCTCAGGCCTTTTCTACGGCTCTGAATTCTGAAGACAATTCAGAAAAAAAGCCATCAAGCTGATTAAAGAGTTAATAAAGCAGTAAAGAGCCAGAAGCAAGAAACTAATTGTTTTAAAAAATGGGAAGGGTATTTTAATACACTGCAATCAAAACAGTGACTGATGAGTCTTCCACTCCTGCGATGAGGAAAGAATTAACAAGTTTTAACTACTGAGTTAATACTAAGACCTTCCTAAGAGTGAGGCCTACTGAAAGATGGAATCTTCTGTGATCTGTTTCTTAAAAAGACTCCTACAGTGTCGAAGAGTTGTTTTATGAAATGGTTATTTTGTATAACTTGAGTCCTCTACTATTATATGAAAATGTTATCTTTGGCAGAAAAATATAAAACATGGACTCCTGAGTAGATGCTAATTAATAATCCCCACTACCACAATTTCAGACCGATTCATTCCCGACAGGTGGGTCTAAGAAAATGTAACAGCTTACTTTCCTTATTACCGTCCTTACCTGTCCATGGGTATCACCTGCAGACTTGCCAGCCTCAAACTTTAATGCCAACCCGAAGTCAGCAATACAAGCTGTCAGATTGTTTTTCAACAACACATTTTTACTTTTGATGTCCCTTGCAAATAGAAAGATAAAGCATTCAAATTAAATTTAAGCAAGTTATCTTTTAGAAATATTTACTGAAAGTGGAGAAGAGAATACGCTCTACAAGAACAGCTGCTTTAAAATACGAAATGCAGAGGAAGAGAAGGGAAAAGAAGCTTAAGCAGAGCACAAGAGTGACAAACTCCTATTGGGAGCACACATGAGAGTCTCTCCATAAAGTAGAAGAAGCGCCACTCCGAAAATACATTATCTGTCACCCCCAATGCCTGTTACCTGTGTCGCTCCCACACAGCAATCATAAAATTGCTGTTTTTTAAGAGAGTATTTCAGCTTTTACAGTTCAGACTCTTATAGAAAATGAAATTTCTAAAAAATGGAAAATCTTTTTAAACATAACTGAATTGGGGTCTTTTGTCCATTGGCACAGACCTGCATTTTCAAATGTCCCTTACTGTAGAATGTCATACAACCTGGGTACAGGGAAGTGTAGCTGGCACTATAGAATACAAAGTTTTTACCTTACACATACACTGTTCAAGCTATCCCCTGGTGTTCCGAGTAGGATAACTGTTTTAAGGCAGCAAAATACCATCCTCTACACACTTGCCTGAAGTAGTTTACCCCAGAAATTACTACATGCCAATGAACTACGGAGAAGCCACGACCCACAGTTACCCTCGGGTGTGCGCTCACACAGCCCGAGTGCTACAGAGGAGGGGCAGGAGCAGAGAAATGCTCCGAAAACCACTTTCACTCAAAAGATTTTCAGGGCCCCTACTCCTAATAACCTTTGCTGTTTTGGGGCGTGGAGTCCAAAGGATTGATTTCCTAGTAGAAGAGAGACTGCATACAGCAAGGTGAGAATAAATAGGGGGCCCTATTTCTGAAGGAGAAATCTTAAAAGGTTTGCAAAACGAGGATCTACATATTTGAGGCAGATTTAAAGTGACGCCTCCTAACAACCTACAGCTCCCCGGGGGCCCGCAACTGAGGATCTGCTCAATGCGCCTGCGCATGCCTCCTTGCACAGCAAGCACGCTTAGAACGAATACGAAATCGACACACTGAATCTGATGTCCACCGAAGTTAAACACATGGAGAACTGAACCCACGCTTAAGGAACATTTTTCCTTTTCAGGGGTATGGCAACTGCTGAAATCTAGGCACTACTTCTTCATTAGGCAACTGCTGGAATGATACCACCCTCTGGTTCAGCTCAGGGAAAAAAATATATGGTCATTCCAAAAACAAGCCAAGAAAATATTCAAGAATTCTCCTTAACTCTGTCTTTTTGTAACTATTCATAATTACCTTTAAGTAAACGATGTTTTGAGTTAAAAAAATTTCTTTTTCCTTTTAGGCAAATAAAATATACTTTCATTTTCAATACTTTCAGAAATGAGAAATTAAAGCATAAGGAGATAATTAAACTTTGCTAATGATGCTAACATACACGTTTTCCATAATGCGTCAATCTCAAAGCTAATTTAAGAAACAAATGAAAATTATCTGCTTCGTAGAGCATGGTTAAACAGCTGAGGAGAAAATAAATTTTACCTAAGGGATTAAAATTTAAGAGACATATTCTGAATTACAAAGGGAAATGACATAAATATTGCTCTACCTGTGAGATATTGCAGGTTTGTGGCCATCCTTCAGGCCAGGTATATCTTCGTGTAAATAGGCCAATCCTCTAGCCATAGTTTCTGCAATGTGGCACAGTTCGTTCCAGGAGACCACATTAGCCTTAAGAAAGTCCGACAGTGAACCCTACAGAAAACAGCAAGAGGAAAAAAACCTTAAACTCTTGACAAAAACTATACTTACATGGAATTTTTTTTAACCTGTAGGAAATTATAAAAGGCAGCATATTAGTTCTCTCATGATAATATCCAAAAAGCAAACTTTCTGGAACGGTTGAAAGTTCCTTCCAATTCACATTAATACATATTTAATCACAAAGAAAAAGACAGTGATCTTGTAAAGTTTGTTAGAAAAATAGTCAATTTCCCACAATTTAAACAGTAGAAGTTAAATGATATTTGAAAATCTAAAGTTCTAGAAAATACTCACTTTTGAAAGGGAAGATACACTAACTATAGAGATGCTACAGGATACAACTAGAGTAATACACTATATAAACAATCTTCCCTCTAGAGAGTACTTAACCGTCCTTATAGTTAAGAAGCAAGAGAAATTTAAGAGCCACTGAACAATGATGAAACAGTTTCTCATTTCACTTATGTTCCTTTCAAGCAACTGTGAGGTTGAAAAATAGAGCAAAACAGCAAGTGTGTCTCAGTGAGTAACCTCACAAGGCAGCCACAAAGCAATGATCACGCACATTTCCTGACTGCCGGTGTGTCGTTAATCTACATTTATCACAGCGTTGTAAGACACGGAATTCAGGCTGGAGAAACAATTTAAGAGATCAAAATAGGTCACACACAGTAAATAAAAATTACTAAGTACTTTTATATCAAGTATTTGCATGACATAATTACAGAACAGGAGGTCACTGTGAGCAGAGAGTTACAGAAAAAGCTGCTGCCTTTAATCTTTAGTAAAATAAATTACTTCTGGAAACAGAGATTTGTATTTTAGGTTAAATAATCGTCAGCTCCAACAACACACTCTCTCCTGAAAAATCGGTCGGAGAGATTCACAGCGAACAGTAGGAGGGCAGGCCAACTCTGACCTTACTAAATGAAACAGTTAAGTAGTTTTACCTTTTCATGGAATGCTGTAATCAGCCAAAGATCCACATCAACACTGGTGCCTCGTTTTTCTGCACCAATAAACTGTAGTATGTTCTCATGCTTCATTCCAGGCAGGCTGTAGACTTCATACTCATTTTGCCATGACTGTTTGTCCTAGAGTTAAAAAGAAAGAACAGTGAGAAGACAATATAGGGAAATATACCATGTCTAGGAGATTACTCCACTTCAAAAGAAAAAAAAAAGAAAACTAAATATTAAAAGAAGAAAATTAAGGCAAATATAACAGATCGTTTGTCCTGGTTTTTAGTAAGAGAAAGCTCCAACAGGTAACAGTTCCCCCCTAAATGCCCACCCCCGCAGCGCTCAGATCACACTGTCCTGCTTTCTGTTTATGAAGAAGGGCGTCCATCAGAAACGCTCCACTTCTGCATTACATGATGGCAACGAACTCTGCTTACAAATGTCAGTGTAGTTCCTCCCAATGCAATGTTCCTTGTGCTACTGTTCATCAGCTAGAATGTCTATTTAAACAGGACTAGCGTAGTATCGCAGACTAACATAGGATCTCACGTTCTTTTAAAAGCACCACACATTTACTCCAGCCTGCAAGTGATCCATGTCTACTACACACCTACTTAGAGAAGACTCACTTCTTTCCATAATGGAAGTACAACAGAAGTGGCAGCACCCTACAGGATGGCGAGGCACCCTTGGATCCAAACTGAGTTCGAACTGTGGCTCTCTCACTAATCTTTGGCAACCTATAACCATTAATTAGTTTCCTAATTAAATGAAACGGGGACCGTCGTATCTCCTGCACAGTCGCTGTATTTGATGTACATACAGGAACATGTAAAGCGCTCTCCGCTGGCACAATAAAAGTATTCAATAAAGTATTTGCCACTACTGCTGTTACTCTTCAGTTAATATCCAAATGCTTTTCTCTAATTTTTTTTTTTTTTTTTTTGGTTTTTCTCCGGTACCGGGAACCGAACTCACGACCTTGCACTTGCCAGGCAGGCGCTTTTGCCACTGAGCTAAATCCCCAGCCCCGCTTTTCTCTAATTTTTAAGGTTCCTGACAAAATGAAATAACTCTCTGGATGTTTTTTATAAATCTTGGCACAACACAACATACTCTCTTTCTAAATCCCTAACTATATAGAATCTGCACTGCGACCAAAAGGGAAAAATAAATTTCTTCAGGCTCTATCAGACAAGCTTTAGAAGAGGTAAGAAGGCTAACATCTAAGAATAACAAGACAAAAAAAATTGTTTCTATAATAACTTTGGAATAAGGACACTCTGATGTTTAGGTACAGCAGTAAAGCCTGTATCACAAATCTAGCCAAGTCCGCACTATCAAGAATAGCATTAGCCACAGGGGTAAATAAGCAAAAGAAACGGAAGACGCATTATCAAATCTGTATCAGCAGCGCCACAAAAAATAACGGAAGAACAGCAAAGGGGTAGACACATCAGGGTAACTTCTCTTCTTTTAGGAGAAACCCAGCAACTTTTCAAAGAAAAACAATTCAATGGTAACCACTTGTTTGGACGCTTGATTAACTGCCTTTGAAAAATAACCAAACAAAAACTGCAGCAACTACATGAGCACTCAAAGTAGTATGCAAATAAGTGAGTCTGGTAATACACCTCCAAAGAGCAGTTCCAGAACACTGCACTTGAACTCTTCTGCCTGCCTTCCCTGATAACCCTAAGGGGCTACTAAAATTTAACCACTCGAACACTTTGTACTTGTTTTTTTAAAAAACTGGCTCCTTCGACTTGACATTTCTGTAGAATTTTTATTGACAAACATCATCTATATGTTTATATAAGGTAACTGCACCACTCCAAGCCTGACTGTGGTACTAAGAACTCTCTCAGATGTGAAGGCAGACGGGAAGGGGCTACCTCCTTTTCCAGTGTCACCAAGAATCGCTTAGGAATTCGTGGCTTGTATTTTCACACTGTTTCTACGTTCTGACAACCTCGGAAGTCCCAGCTTTCTGAACAGAAACACAGGTTAGGTAGCTGCAATACACATACCTGTATTGGAAATATTTTGACAGCCACATACTCGTTCAGCAACTGCGCTTTCCAGACACAGCCGAATCTTCCCCTTGCTTTCACTTCCAGCAACTGCAGCGGCTTCAAACCTAGTAATGGAGAGGGTGGGGGTGGTCCTGGGTCCTAGGATAAACAATAGCAGTACTGTAAATAAGCAGAACATGAAACACATCAACTCTGAAAATGAGAAAAAAGTGAGTATGCCAAAGAATCAATTGACGGGAACAGTAAACACATGGATGACATTACTTCAATCCTGCCAAACCTGAGTTTCTCCAACGTTACTAACTACCTTCGGTGACCACAAGGCAGGCCATTTGATTTCAGAATTTCCACACTGACACTCAACACTATTGCTACTTGAGTACAGCAGGAAGCGGAAAGGGACCGTCTCCGTTACACACTCTCACTAACTTTTCCCACGAAGATTTTCTGTGAACTTTAAGAACTGCTAAGAATACTTCACTATTTTCATCTAATTTATACTTCTTTAAAGGATGAGGATTTGGGAAGTGGTACAAAGAGGATTATGGCTCTCTCTCAAAGAACATCTCAGAATCCACTATTTTCTCCAATGGCTATCAAATTTCAAATCCTTTCTTCATTAACCTTAGCAATAGCGGCGTCCGTGGACACATCCCAGGGAGGTCTGTCCCACACGAGGACACGAGGAAACGCACTGCAGCCCGGCCCGTCTGCTCTGTCTGCTCTCACTTCCCAACACGTTAGCAACCCACCCCTGTGTTTGTAATTTTTCCAAAATGGATCTGAGCTAAAAATTATTTGTATTTTAAGGCTGACTGACCAAGAAAATGCAAATAAAAATGCAGAAAAGTGGTGATCAGAGTGAATAAGCTACAATAAGTGAAAGAGAAGTACACTATTATTAGAGTTAATAGAGCAGACACAGTTAGAAGAAGGAGTACGGCACGGAGATCCTCCGTATACAAAACAGGATGGCAACAACCCCTCAGCAAGCATCCTGCCAGCTATCTCACCCTACAGCAAAGCAGGAAGCCCTCCGGAAAGCTCCCAGGGAAAAGTGAAACACGTTTTCAAAGGCCACACAACAGACTTTAATATACTTAATATTAGGAAGCAAAGTAAAATTTCTGCAGCGAGAGGAACGAGCGTGCTGGCAAGGGCCGGCACCGCAGGGCCCGGGAAAGAGTCTGTCACCAAAAACCAATGCACCTCCCTCTGCCTTGCTTTCCCTTTTTTCTAATCTCTTCTAATGCCTCACAGACTCCCAGAGCTCAGGCATCATTCAGCTCACTGGTGCCACGCAGGAGCTGGGAAAGTTTACATCTAACAAAGGAAAGGCCCTTGACAGCAGAAAACTGTAAGGCATTAAACAGGAAAGAGATGCAACTTCTTCTAAAGTAATCTTTATAAAATGGCTTGACAATTTCTAACATCAAGATAAAATAGAAGACTCCTGTGATGCATTCCAAACTCATGTCTTTATTTTAAAATGTCTGTGAAAGTTGCTTTTCCTTCTCACATTCAAAACAGCAAAGGTTAGGGAAGCTAGAACGTTTCCAGTTAGCAGAGTGACAGGTCAAGAAGGTCGGTATAAATCTTACAGAAAGGACAGGCTCTTAAGTATGACTAGGGGTGTAGGCTGGGGGCAAGACTCCGGAGAGTGTCTCTGAAATGCACCCTCCCTACCTCATTCTTTAACTGACCCCTTCAACCTGGAAGAAAAGGTTCTACTCATAGGAGCAGGCTGCTATATGAATGTGGAGACTGGGGGAAGAAAGTTTGAAAACTACTTTTCCACAAGCAAAACCTGGTCCAAGTATTACTGTATAACTGCATAAAGGAATAATTAAGCTAAGTAGAAAATGCTACAAAGGTAGTATTTCCAAAGTAGGAAGGCCAGAAACTAAAGTAATACATAGCAACTCAAGGCTGAAGATGCAAAGTAATAAGGTAGAGAAGTAACAGGACGCTCAACGGAAACACTGAAACTGGTAACGCTGCCACACGTGGCCTATTCTGTTTTAAAAGGTGCCAATCACATATATGTGATTCAACCTATAAAGGAAGATTTAGATGATTTAATCCAAATCTCAAAAAGTTGGCAATTCAAAATACATTTTTAGGACAATACTAACTTTAAACCTAGGAAATGTACAATCATTTTCAATGTGTATGTTTAGGAAAAATAAATGTCTTCCATGAAAGTTCTAACAACTTTCTAAGACTCTGCTCAGCAAATTTCTAAGCTACTGGTATGTCAGAAGAAATCTTAGAACACCCTCCTAATTGTATCTTCATAACCAGAAAACACACTGTAGTCAAAATTACTTTAAAAGGAGAAAAAGCTTAAAAACACACTGCATAATTTTCAAAGGCTAGGAAAAGGTTTACAAAGTCACATTCTTATAAAGTGTCAAAACTTTTAGAAATGTTTTTAAACAGAAATTTAACATAACATTCTGTAATACTTAAAAGAATTCGGCTCAAAATGAATAATTTTACAGCAAAGATTGTAACTATAGAACCTATAACGCTAAATCAATATAAATTTTTCCTGCTGCTTTAGTGAGAAGTCGCTACAATGAAATTTTAAATGTGTGTCAAATATTTAGGTTTTACTTATTCCATAATCTAAAAATACTAAAATACTAGAAATATTTTGCAGTTTATTTGCATCACTATAGCAGTTTACCCGCAGAAAACCCCCTTAACATTTGCTTCTAGAAATAAAGATTTATACCTTTTAAATGGATGGACCCTTGGAAACAAATGCAGACCTCAGAAAGGGTGGCAATGTTCTGACTTCATCCACTAAATATGGCTTTGCTCTCACACAGAAAAACTACTCAGAGGAAGAAACAGAACTCCTGAAAACTTTTCATAAATCTCCACTTCTCTTACCATATCCACGCTATTTTGTAAAATGAAGAAGATATATATTAGAAGTGGCTCTGACTGTGTTTCTTCTTACGGCTCAAAAGATACCACGTTGCAAAGATATGCTGAAAAGCACCCCTCCGCTCCTGCCAACGTCAGGAAAGGCGGGGAGCTCTGGAGCTGTCTGGGATTGGTTTTAACGACTTGGGAGTCTCCCATTTTAAGGATGAACTCTCATCTTATGTAACCTTAAAGTTCCAGACAGCAAAAGATCATCGAAAGGTGTACTTCACAATTAGTTCATTTGCTTGAGATGCCAAGGATAAAAGTGGAAATATACATTGTGATTAAGATGACGTGCTGTACCAGAAAGTCAGCTCGTTAAACGTGAGCACACGCTGGTATCTACACCTACCACATGCTGGAAAAATAAACTAATAAAAGGTAGTTAAGGCCAACGAAGTTATTACGTGTTTTCCAATCAGCTAAAATAGTTGTTTCTACATTATACCTTAGAGAATTATGAATTTGTCAAATCAATCATATTTTTCTGTAGTGGTGGTGGGGAGTCTTTATAACATAAATGTGTATGAACTATAAAGGATGCACAGTAGAGCAACAATAACAACAAAAATCTAAGGACAAAATGTTAAGTATGCATCCACAAAAAATTCCACAACCATAAAACAAACATCAATGCATCTTACCTCTATCATTATATGAAAGGCGTGCTTGTGAAAAAAAAACACAGGCAAAAGAAATTACGATTCATATTCAGAATGAAATGAAAAATGACACAACATTTACAAAGTGAAGGAAAGAGAACAGTGATTTAACTTTTAAGAGGTTGGCAGTGATCCAATGTACTATATTGTTAAAATGAGAATTGAGAACACTTTCCTTATAGAGGAAAGTAATATAAAAATTAAACACGCACACAAATACACACAAACCCTTTGGGTATTAGCTATCCGATGAGATGTAAACAGAATTCTGACCCTAATGTAACCCCAGTTACCTGATCCAATGGGCTTCAAACCAGAAAGTAAACTAAACTAAGTCTTACATAGGAAAGGTCCTATAGTAAGTAAACTCTACAAGTAAACTAAGTGATGTAGCTGCAGACACAAGCTGGAACTGAGTCTGCACACCAGAGGGCAGTATTGCCTTTAACAAGAACTAGGTAGCAGCCCTAAAGAAATTACATAAAGCTTAGGTCTTACAGCCCACACTCCCCCGACAGTTGTAAGAACCTCTAGAAGGACTCACTTGCAGTGAGCCAGGTGCTGCACTGCCCTTTCGTGGAGCCCGGAAGAATCACTGCGGTCAGACAGAACACGTTTCTGGTGGCCACGTGAGCGCGTGCCACGTGACCCTGGTACGGGAGTAAGACAGGAGGAGGAGGGCGTCAGAATCCCGTTCACGGGGTTAACGGGTCAGGCCTCCCGCTAACCGAGTTCCCAGCTATGACAAGGTGAAAAACTGAAATCTTAGTAAAATGTAATTTAAATTATTCAATGCTCACTGCAAGTTAAGGATATGTCAGGAGTTCAAAACATGATTCGGGCACAATCCTAGCTCCACTCAGGAAATGCGCACGTAAGACGGGGGCGCAGGCAGCGAGCGTCTACACGCAGTTCTCGCGGTCGGAGGACGCTGAGGCACGGCCGGAAAGCAAGCTTTTTACTTTTCCTGTCATCCCAAAGTAAGGCCCCGAACTGAACTTCACAGACATACTGTTGCCAGGGTTAGAGGCTGCTGACAATTTCTCCAAATAGATGACTAGACTCCCCAACTCCCGGCACCTCCACAGGGCTTCCGCGGAGAGCAACAGCTCCTGAGAACAAGGAACTGGCGACTCTGCGTCTCTACCGGTTCCTTCGCCTTTCTTCGTTCTCCATCTTCCTCCCCCGGCAAAGATTCAGGACCACACCGTCGTCCAAAAGGCTGGGTTTCCCTCACTATCAAACTTGTCAGCATTCCAGAGGAAAATTCACTCTTTGAAAGAAATGCTTGCCAACTGATTACACGAAGATCAAGGACCACTTGGATCCTGTTTAAACACAAGTGCTTTCAAAGATAAAGATGACACTGTACTAAGACAAGTTAGTGCTATTCTTGCATCTTACAAGAAAGTGTACCTCTGCTTAGCACACTTCCTAATCAATGAAAATCAGAATAAGCTATAAAGACATACTAGCTAATGTGACAAAATAAAAAGGGTTAAAATAGCATTTTAAAAGCACAGAGATAAAAAAAGT